GAAATATAGGCGAAACACTACGTGATTTGCACATCAAAGACATCTTTAAAGATACATCACCCAAAGCAGTGATAGTGAAGGCAAAGATAAACAGCTGGGACTACATCAAATTAAAGAGCTTCTGCACAGCAAAAGAGACAATAACAAAAACAAAGAGAAACCCCACCAACTGGGAGAACATTTTTGCACACAACACTAATGATAAAGGACTGATCACAAAAATCTGCAAAGAGCTGATGAGACTCAACAACAACAAAGAAAATAATCCCGTCAAAAATGGGCAGAAGAGCTAAAAAGAAACTTCTCTGAAGAGGAAATGCAAATGGCCACCAGGCATATGAAAAAATGTTCAACATCACTTGTCATCAGGGAAATGCAAATCAAAACTACCATGAGATACCATCTTACACCAGTGAGAATGGCACATATTAAAAAAACTAGCAACAACAAATGTGGCGAGGTTGTGGAGAAAAAGGAACTCTTCTGCACTGTTGGTGGGAGTGCAAACTGGTCCAACCACTATGGAGAGCTGTGTGGAGATTTCTGGACCTACTAAACATAGAGCTTCCATATGATCCAGCAATTCCACTCCTAGGTATTTACCCAAAGGACACAGAATCAATCCCAAAGAGCACCTGCACCCCTATGTTTATAGCAGCACTATTTACAATAGCTAAGCTTTGGAAACAACCCAAATGCCCCAAAATAGATGACTGGATCAAGAAGATGTGGTACATATACACCATGGAATATTACTCGGCATTCAAAAAAGATAAACACATGCAATTTGCAGCAACATGGATGGCACTGGAAGGGATCATGCTCAGCGAAATAAGCCAAAAAGAAAAAGAAAAATACCGGATGGTCTCACTCATTGCAGGAATCTATAAAACTTAAATAAAGGACCAGGAAAATGAATAACTATAAGAAAGTGAAAATCAAAATCAACAAAAAACTATGAACGAGAGACACTTTTTGGAGGGTGAGGGGCGGGAGGGGAGGGATTGGGGTCAGAATGGGGGGGTTGCAATTGTATGGGGAATATAAAAATAAAAATTATTTAAAAAAAAATTTAAACAGGATGATATCAATTCTCTGATTAAAACTATTCCGAGGCTTCCCAATATAATTAGAATAAAATTTGAACTACTGAAGAGCAGGATTGCGTGTAATCTGGCCCTGCCCTACTTTCCAACCTTTCTTCCTTCTAGTCTCTATCTTCTCTCCACTCCAGTCACACTGGTCTTTTTTCAAGCACACCAAATGAATTATTGCCTAAATGGCCATTGTTCTGGCTAGTTCAGCTGCATGTTACCGGCTTGGGTTTTCAGAGAAGCTCATTCATCTAACGTAGTGAACACTCTCCCACACCAGTCACTATTTATCCCAATACCCTTTTTTATTTCCTTCATAACACTCAGAGCCAAATAAATACTTGTTTAGTATCTGTTTCCGATCATGATCATAAAAAATCCTATGAAGGCAACAGGAATACACTCTTTATTCACAGATGAATACTAAATAGCACATAGTAGGTATTCAATAAACATCTATTGGATCAATTTGAAGAAAGTGAAAAAAACAGTATTCACTTTTTACTTTTAGTACAGGGGTAATGAAAGTCAATCTTAAACACTCGTAAATTAACTTATTTTTGGTATATCATCAGTCAAGATTGGTACATTAACCATCAGTTATTATATAAGTCAATTATCATTTAAGAAAAAGAATATTGGTATATCTTATCAGAGATATCATCATACAAAAAGATATCATCATACTTCATTTTAAGTATTTTCACTAATTATTTTATATCCTGATGACACATTGTTAAATTAGACAAAATATCAAACACTGAGAGAAAAAACAAATGAGGCACCTTCAGATAAGTAGACAGAAAGCCAAGTCTCAAACGTAAACTCAGATCTATGTGTTCTTTGTATCAGATCATGAACTGTTCACATTACATGTTACCTACCTATTTTAAAGCAATTCCAATCAAAGAAGTATAGTAGAAGTTAAAGATCTTTAAAAAACTTAAGAGAAATTTAAAAGGTTACTAGTGTATAAAGTATATAAAACCTAAAACAATAGCAAGAATCTTAACTTTAAGAAAACTTGATTAAGGTTAAAAACATGAATCTCCTAGTACTCAGTTGCATTTACTGGTTTGAAGATATAAAAATTATTATCGATTAATAAATATATTATATTAATAAATAATTTAAAAAGATTAATGAAATGGGATTTTAACAATAAATGAATTGGGTAGTCAAGAAAATCTTTTTAAAGTATATCACTAGGGTACTAATACTGGAATATCCAAGCCCACAGCATCAAGTCCAAATTCAGCAGCATGCAGAATGCTACACTCAGACCTGCTTCTCTCCCAGCTGCTCCTCACCACATGTCCATGAATGTGGTCAGTCCGATGCCCATCTGGAGAATTCCTGCTTATCTTTTAACAGCACAAATGGCCCTTCCTAACCCCTACACAGCTGAACTAGCCCTAATCTATATACCCAGACGAGCCCTGAACATTATTTTTTAGCATATTGTACTACAGAATGAACACTCTATCATTGGTAGTTGCTACATGTTTTCCCAACTAGGCTGTACATGTTTGCTGAATTAAAGAAATATATCATCAAATTCTGAAATCAATATGCAAAACATCTGTCAGAGTAAATATTCAATTAATACTGGTCAAACTAATAATGGATTGTAAAAATTCTTATTAGGTGTTGGTTATCACTTAAGGTCGCCTAACTGACTTAATCTACTCTGTGAAATTCAAGGTTTTTTAAAGATATAACAATTATATCTAAAACCCTCAAGAATTCAGGCACTCAACAGGCATATGAAAAAATGTTCAACATCACTTGTGATCAGGGAAATGCAAATCAAAACTACCATGAGATACCATCTTACACCAGTGAGAATGGCACATATTAAAAAAACTAGCAACAAATGTTGGTGAGGTTGTGGAGAAAAAGGAACTCTCCTGCACTGTTGGTGGGAGTGCAAACTGGTCCAACCACTATGGAGAGCTGTGTGGAGATTTCTTGACCTACTAAACATAGAGCTTCCATATAATCCAGCAATTCCACTCCTAGGTATTTACCCAAAGGACACAGAATCAATCCCAAAGAGCACCTGCACCCCTATGTTTATAGCAGCACTATTTACAATAGCTAAGCTTTGGAAACAACCCAAATGCCCCAAAATAGATGACTGGATCAAGAAGATGTGGTACATATACACCATGGAATATTACTCGGCATTCAAAAAAGATAAACACATGCAATTTGCAGCAACATGGATGGCACTGGAAGGGATCATGCTCAGCGAAATAAGCCAGAAAGAAAAAGAAAAATACCGGATGGTCTCACTCATAGCAGGAATCTATAAAACTTAAATAAGGGACCAGGAAAAAGAATAACTATAATAAAGAAAAAATCAAAATCAACAAACAACTATGAACCAGAGACACTCTATGGGGGGTGGGGGGGGAAGGAAGAATTGGGGTCAAAATAAGGGGGTTGCAATTGTATGGGGAATATAAAAATAAAATTACAATTAAAAAAAAAAAAGAAAGAGGTAAAGATGAATGTTCATATTTAAAGTATGGTTTCTCCCTTTTTTTCCCCCTCTGATTGGATGTCTGCTATTTCATTTTGTTTCTTGGTACAAACTGTTGAATTAAATTACTTCAACATAGATGGAAAAAATAAAAAGAATTCAGGCATTACATACAGTGTGTTTTTTAAAAGCACCATCCCAGCACATTCCACATTCTCTCTGTATAGGTGAGTCTGCACCAGAGAACTGACCGTGTAGAAGATTCACTGTGTCTGAGAAGTTCTGGGAAAAATAGTCACCAATATTTTGACCCAACAAACACTACTGACTCCTTCCAAACAGTGTTCTGCTTAGAAGTAAATGTTTACAGATTTCTGATGACACGATACCCTTCAAAGATTCTACCGCTGTTTTCGTGTATTGCCCAAAAACAGCCCTGCAGGTTAATCACCAGAAACTTGTCTGAAGACTAACCAAGCAGAAACATGAAATGCATTCTATTGTAAATAGGAAGCACTTTTAATGAACTTATTGAACTTTATATAACCACAACAAATTTTTATTTCTTGATCATTCCCCCACAAAAATACAGAATTAAATTTTAGTAAAAAGGGCTAATTTAGTAAACCTTTGAACTATTCTTAACATGAATTTATTAATAAAATTAAATATCATGACATTTAATATTAAAATATAAAGTACAATTAATCCTAATTTCAAAATTGGCAACCTAATTATTATTAATATAGAAGTACTTTTATACAAAGTGCTGCAAAATATTGTTAGTGTCTCAAGATTACTATGTAGCAATCTAAGGCCCAGAGCACAAAACAATGTTTTAAAATTTTCCTTTTAAAAATTCTAAATTCATTTCCTTGTTATAAAACATGACTGATTATTTAAAAACATTTACAAGGGAAAATTATAGCACTTAGTATCTTGAGCATACAGTTTAGAAATGTTGGCTTGAATTTAATCTTCATAAACATAAACACAAACAACATGGCATATAAAAGCGCAGAAAAAAAAATGCTGGTTTTATTGGTATTACAGTGTAGGCTTAACAGAAGCTAAATACAAAACCAACTGTTAGATATTTAGTCATTTATGCTGTGAAACAACATGTGAAATCAACCTTGAAATATTTATAGGAATGAAAATGTCTATAAAATATTGTCCCCAATAAACTCTAAGGACTCCATATACACATGCAAAATTTGAGTTTGTCAATTAACTACATCAATGTTGAACTGTAAGGAGTAAAAAAATCAATCTCTAATTTTAAAATTAAATAGCCCCCAATACAAGCATGCAATTTCCCATGTTTACTATCTCTGTAGTTTGCAGAGAGTTCCAAGGCAAAGACTGCTTCCGGCTTTATGAACTACTAGAGATGGTGGCTTGTGTGGCTGACTTACGCTGGGCCTTTTGGTCTTCTTTCCTGATTGATCCTTAGCTTCTTTGGGAGGAGGCATATGGATTGGTTTCCATGGAATTGGATTATAAAAGGTTGGTTCTGGATAAGAATTTCCATTGTAAAAACCTAAAATTATTAAAAAATCAGAATAACACAAAATAAAAATAACCTTCTTGAGAACAAAGAAACTACTTATTTTAAAACACCTAGAAAAAATATTTAAAAATGTCAAAAAAAAAAAAAAAACAACCAAAAGGGGATGCCAAAAATAACTTTGATTCATTTAAAATTTGAACTCTTGAATATTTTCAAACAAAGGACACTTAAAACACAGTAAATATTGCAGTACAAGTTAAAATAGAAAAGATAATTCCAAGAGTCCAAAGAATGTCAATATTAAAGACCCTAAAAATAAAAACTCCTATAAAGCCTTTACTAAGAAATCAATTTTAGAATTCTTAAGTTAAACAAGACTTCATTTTCTTAACTCGAAACTACAACTGATTGTGAACTAATTTCCCCTGGTCATACACTTTAAGTTCATAGAAAAAAATCATTTTGTATATATAGCTACAGTAAATCAAGATTCTTAGAATCAGTGAATCACTTACAATCACTGAAATTCAAAATTACTATCAAAGTAATAAAATATAATGTCACTGTCATTTTGAATACTAATTATGGCATGCTCCCTTACTGGGATGGATATGAATGAAGGCTTTAAAGAGTTAGATACCTGACATCTAATAACTGAAGAAGCAACATTTTGGTATCATATCCAAATATTCCAATCACATAGTTAGTCATCTAAATTTCTCTATTACATAACATGTATAAATGATAAGAATGTAAGGAATAAAAACTTAAAGGCAAGAGAGAATATGCAGCATTTGAAGATAAATATGGTATTTATTAGACTAAAACTCATTTACTAGAATGCAGATTAATATTTTTATTATATAAATTTTTATTTTATTATTTAATTTTAGTCTACTATATCATTTTTATTTTACTCTAGAATGGATTGTCTTTTTTTTAGCAATTAAATTCTAGTCAACATATATTCTCAACTGAAGTTTTAACTTTATTATCTCATCATCTAGTTAAAACCACTACTTATTACTCCTCTTTTCAAACAACAAAGAAAAAAGAAGGCACAGCTCATGCTCAGTAGCTGTAATGGATGACCTCTGTGACATGTACGAGAGGCCCGAATTCTGACAGCAGGAATGTGTCATTCAGACCTGGGCAGCCCACTTTAACTGCATAGATATGTCAACACACACTTCACTAAGATGGTCAAAACAAAGTCTGGAATATGTTCCATTGTGTGAACAAAACAGAATGGGAGTATTTTTAATAATAAATCACTTAAACAAGTGAAGGCAGCTGTCAGCAAGGTATGAACTTCCAACACGAAACACAAAGGAAAACACGCATCACCATTTATAATCAGACGAAGCCTACAGGCCACACCATCTTGTGTCTGGCTCCTAGGCTGATCAGTATTACACCCTGCAAAAACAAAGGGCCACAGCCATGGGAAGCTCTGTCTTAGAGAGTTAGAAGAAAAGGGGAAAAATGACCCTTCTAAAAATATCCTGATTGAGGCTTTATCATCCAAGAAAAGTAAGAGCTTTTCTTATATCTTTTTGTTAGAAATTATTACCTTGCAGTTTTACAACTACTGCCTTAAGATTTTTTGGAGAATTACAATAAAGTTGTAGTATCTCCACAGCAACACAGTATGTTTTAGTCTTTAAGAAAAGAGTAATTCGGGCCTCCCCAGTGCCACAGCGGTTGAGCGCTGGGTTGCGAAGCTGCCCGTAGACTCTGCAGCGCCAGTTCAATCCCCGGCCACTGGCGAGGGTCCCACCAGGCACGCAGACCTCTCCTGCTGCACCCGCTGATCCCCTCAGCAGTGTATTTCGTCAGTCTGCCTGTTCTGCTCCCCGCTGTGGTGAATTCTCTCACCCTCCAGTGCTTCTGACTGTACCCAGTGCTTGTATAAATAAATAAATCTTTAAAAATAAATAAATGAAATAGTAATTTGAAAGAAAAATGATTTTTATACATTTCTATTTCTGTCAAAAGGAAACACAATGTGTAATATTTGTTCCTACGAACCATATTTATGTAAACCACATGACATAAAACCAACCTGTAAGCTTTCCATTGGCATAACCATAGCTCTTTGCAACTGGGCGAGGCTTATTTTTTGCATTTTCCAGCCATTCCTTAAACTTTTTTTCTGCTATTTCCTTTTTTTCTTGTAATTCAGTTTGTCGTTGTTTTTCTTTTTCCTTGAAATGACAAGACCAAAGAATCTCCAAGGATATTCTGTTGACTAAAAATTTCATTCAAAGTCTATTGATTTTTTCCCCTAGTAGCTTCCCACCCAAATGGCTGACTGATTGATCATACATATTGATCATATTTCTATAATTTGAAAGCACTATTTGACAAGACTAGGGAAGGAATCTAACTCCAAGTTATAATAAGATATCAAACTCAAAAAGAAAAAAGCAATTTGTTGTTTTAAAAGAATAATTCACAACAATAAAAATTTTGTATCTGACTAAAAAAATCAGCATGTTTATTAATATTCTCAACTGAAGAAAACTATACATACATATTCAATCTTAAAACTTAAAACAGAGGGGTCTCCCTGGTGATGCAAGAGGTTAAGCACCGCACTTTGAAGAAATCCACAGCCTCTGCAGAACGGGTTCGATCCTGGGCCGGCCAGGGAGCAACCCACATGGCGAAGCAGACCTTTCCTGTCTCACCCGCTGCTCTTCTCAGCAGTGTATTTCAGTCAGTCTGCCTGTTCTGTTCCCTACTCTGTCTCTGGTGAGTCCTCTCACCCCACCATCCCTGCCCCGCATCTCTGGCCTGTACCCCAGCTCTTGTATGCATAAATAAAATAAACCTTAAAAAAAAAAAAACTTAAACACAGTAAAATAACATAAAAATAGATAATAGTGGGCCTCCCTGGTCGCAGCGGTTGAGCGCTGGGCTGCGAAGCTGCCCGCAGCCTCTGCAGCGCCAGTTCGATCCCCCGCCACCGGACGAGGGTCCCACATGGCGCGCAGACCTCTCCTGTCACCCGCTGCTCCTCTCAGCAGTGTACTTTGTCAGTCTGCCTGTTCTGCTCTCCGTTCTGGCTCTGGTGAATTCTCTTACACTCCCCCACCCCCCCATGCTTCTGACTGTACCCAGTGTTTGTATGAATAAATAAAAAATAAATCTTTAAAAAAAAATAGATAATAGCTCATGTGATTCCTTATGCTAACATAGTACAGATTTCAATACTTTACTAAAATATAGTAGGCACAGGGGCCTCCCTGGTGGCGCAAGGGGTTAATATGCAACCTAAGAAGCTCACCGCAGCCACTAATCCCCGGCAAGGGAGATGAACCATATGGCGCAGCAGACGTCTCCTGACTCACCTGCTGCTCCCCTCAGCAGTGTATTTCAGTCAATCTGCCTGTTCTGTTCCCTGTCTGTTCTCTGTCTCTGGTGAATCCTCTCACCCCCCAAAACTCTGGCCTGTACCCCGGTTCTTGTATGTATAAATAAATAAAATCTTTAAAATATAGTAGGCACAGATGTACATCAAAGTTATGTATTCTAACTGGTCATGTTAATAAAAATACCTTTTCTTTCTTCTTCTTCTCACATTCTTCAGCATTTTTCTTCTTTAGCCATTCTTGATATTTTTCTTTTGCTTTTTCTTGCAAATGTTCTTTCTTCAGTTCTTTAGCAGCTTTTTCCTCCATTTCTTTATTAATTTTTTGTTCCCTTTCTTTTCTTTGCTTCAATAAAAGTGGAGGAATTTTAATTGAATACCTGCACTTTTCCTCATATGAGGAAGGACTGTATTATAAAGTTACTTCTTAAACTTTAGTTATCTTTTAAAATAGGTGGCAAGACAGTGGTTGGCGCATGTGGCTTTTGAAAATATTTAACATACCTGCAAATTATAAGTCAATGCTAGTCAACTAGCTGGCCTATAACTCTCATGAGGGCAGGGAAGAGATTTACTCACTAAAGTATACACAGAGCCTGAAAGAGTGCTGAGTAAATACTAGGTACTCAATAAAAATGCATTGAATAAATCAGTGAAGAGAGATTACAATCTGTTAGATTGCCCTAAATCTTAGTATTTTTTAATTGATGTTTATCCTTACTCTAAAATAGAAGACACAAATGCATACATTTCCTGAACAGTTTGCCAATATGAATACTTGAATAAATCTTCACCATCAGTGAATTACAGAAAACATTCTGGCCCATTAAATATTGCTATATGGGCACATATAGGCAAAACACTGGCTATATAATTCTTGTAAGTCTTACAGGGAACTGAGGTTGCAAATTTATGGTCTGTTAGTCAAATCTGTTCCACTAGGCCACTTGTATTTATAAATAAAGTTTTATTGAAATGTATCAGATCTATTTATTTATATAATTATGGTGTACGGCTGCTTTTGCACTATACCAGAAAAACTGAGTAGCTGCAACAGAGACTGTATGGCCTACAAAGTCTAAAATACTAATTAACCGGCTGGTTACAGGAAAAATTGTTGACTATGTCTGATTTTTCCCTTTCTATTTCAAAAGATGATCCACCAACATAGTTAAATTCTAAATAACCAAAGACACACCTAGCTTGCTTTATCAAAAGTTTAGAAAATAATCTACAAGGCATAAAGTATATGCAATACAAATATCATATATATCACTCTTCATGGAACAAAGAAATGAGCCAATAAAAGAAATTCTTCCCTTAAAAAGTATCTTGTACAATATTTTAATATAGATAATGCAAATAATATCAAAAAACATTAATTACATACAACATATATCCTATGCTATGTGCAAAAGGCAGGTCTTGACAATCAAAGCCCAAGTTATTCCCCAGGTTGCTATATTTCCTCCTTCCTGGCCAGCCAAAAGCAGCAATAAGGAATTCTTTCTATGCTGAAAACCCAATATCCACTGAAACAATACTAAATGTTAACAATTTCATGCTGTCATAAAATCTACAAATTGAAAAGGATCTTAGAGCATATCTTGTTCAATCTGACTGGCTCATGACCCTCCTCTATGACCTCATCAGCAAGGAGTCAAGTCCCCATGTTGTTCTTAATTATAACAGCTAACATTAATTGAGTACTAACTCTGCTTGTTATTATTTCACACACTTTACATGTAGTTACCATGTCAACTAATTCTTATAAGTCACAATATAAGATAGATGTGCTATTATATTCTCATTTCTCAAACGAGGACACTAAGGCACAAAGAGGTTAAGCAATTTGCCTAAGGTTACACAGACGGCAAGTAATAGGTGACTGCAGATTTTACAGACCATTAAAAACAATTTTATGTCATAAGTTCAACAATTTAGATGTCAAAATTCCTTAAAACATACCACTTTACTGATTTGAGAATACAGTATCTGAATAACCATCTACTTACAGCAACAGTTCCAAATTAAAAACTATCCTACAAACAAAACTCTTCATTAGTAGATTCTATTACATATTTAAGGAAGAAATAATACCAATTACAACAAAAATTTTAGAAAAGAAGGGAACACACCTAAACTCATTTTAAAGCCTGGCATTACTATGGTATCAAAACAAGGCATGGAAATTGTAAGATAATATCAGGAAGAAGGAAGATTACTGCTTTCCTCATCAAGAATATGAAATGCTTAGGGATACAGCTAACAAAAAATGCATAAGACCCTAGTAGATAGAAAACTACAAACATTACTGACAGAAATCAAAGATGACTCAAATAAATGGAAAGAAAAATCATGTTTATAGATTTAAAATTTGATATGATTAAGATGACAGATTTTTTCAAAGTGATCTATATATTTAATACAATCTCAATGTCAGACACTATTTAAGCAGACACTAAGGAAATTAATAAACTAATTTTAAATTGCCTGTGGAAGATGCAGACTACAATAGAATTCTGAAAAAGAAAAATGTTGGAGGACTCACGCTAATTAAAACAATCACAAATTCAAGAATTATAAAGTTATAGTAATAAGCTAGTATGATACTGGCATATGATATAAATCCATGAAACAATGGAATTGAGAAACAGACCCATACATATATGCACAATTGAAACAAAAGTGCCAAAGTAACTGAATAGGGAAAAGATTATCTTTTCAACATGTAGTCTTGACACAGTTGGATATCTATATGCAAGAAAGTTAACCTTGATCTGTAACTCATACCACACATTAAAATTAATACAAAATACACATACAGGCTAAGCTAAAGTTACAAAAACTTTCTGGAAGAAAACAATGGAGAATATTTTTACATCCTTGGGATAGACAACATTCCTCAAATCGGACACAATATCCACTAACTACAACAGTGAAAAACCAGAATGTGAAATTTCATCAACATTTAAGCTTCCGCTCTTTAAAACATACTACTAGGGGCCTCCCCGGTGACGCAGCGGTTGAGCGCTGGGTTGTGAAGCTGCCCACAGCCTCTGCAGCACCGGTTTGATCCCTGGCCACCAGGCGAGGGTCCCACATGGCGTGCAGAACTCTCCTGCCGCCCGCTGCTCCCCTCAGCAGTGTACTTCGGTCCTTCTGCCTGTTCTGTTCCCTGCTCTGGCTCTGGTGGATTCTCTCACCCTCCTGCACTTCTGAGTGTACCCAGTGCTTGTATAAATAAATAAATAAATAAATCTTAAAAAAAAATAAGTAAATAAAACATACTACTAAATAATTATATGGGAGAAAAAAATATATGTGACAGGACTTGTGGCCTGAACATATAAAGAACTCTCACAATTCAATAATAAGGCACACAATCTTTCTACAAAATGGGCAAAAAATTAATCCAACACCAAACAAAAAATTAAAGATGTGAAAACTAGTCAATAAGTAGTATGGACTGAGTTGTGCCTCCCCTCCTGCCAAAATCATATGTTGAGGTCTCCATCCTCAATCTAACTGTATTTGGACTTAGGACCTTTAAAGAGATAATAAAGTTTAAGTGAGGTTGTAAGAGTAGGGCCCTAGTCCAACAGGACTAATATCCTCATAAGAGGAGGAAGAGTCCCAGGGAGGCACATGCACAGAGAAAAGGCCATGTGAGGACACAGAGAGGAGGCATCTATCTACAAGCCAAGGAAGGAGTCTCAGGAGAAGTTAAACCCTGCTGACACCTTCATTTTGGAATTTTAACCTCCAGAACTGTAAGAAAATAAGTTTCTGTTGTTTAAGCCCCCTAGTCTGTGGTATTTTGTTATGGTGGCTCAATCAAATGAATACAATAACCTCATGAATAGATATTAAATATCATTACATCTCAGGGAAAAGAAAAAACAACAATGACACACCATACACACTCACTAGAATGACTTAAAATGAAAAAGGCTGACAATACCAAGTTTGGCAAGGATGTGGTGCAAGTAGAGCTTTCCTACAACTGTGCTGGGCAAGCACTTATAAAAACGGTTTGGCAATTTCTTATAAAGTTAAACACACACTTACCGTACAACTCAGCATGTCAGCTCCAAGGCATTTTACCCAAGGAAAATGAAAATAAATGCCCATGAAAAGACTTGTATATGAGTGATTATGGAATTTTATTCATAATTCCCCACAACTAGAAACAACCTAAATGACTACCAACTAGTGAATGGATAAACAACCTGTGGTATTCCAAAGAACAGAATACCAATCGGCAATAAAAAAATGAACAAACTTAATACATGAACTATCAGGAAAATTTAAAACAGAAAGAAGTCAAACACATACACACACACATACTCATGTGTGTATATATGTGTATACATGTATATATGTTTATACACATAAATATACATATTTGTGTGTGTGGGTGTATAAATATAGCCTATTATTCTATTTAAAAGAAATTCTTAAAAAGTCAGATCTAATCCAAACAGACAGAAATCAGACTAATGGTTTCCTAGGAGCGGGCTCTGGATGGGAGTGAGGAGCAGGGATTCATTGTAAAGGAGTCCAAGGGAACTTTCTGGGTGATTGAAATGTTTTATGTTGACTGTGGTGCTGGTTATACAGATATATACGTGCATCATCAAACTTAGATGTATTTCACTACCTGTCAATTTTAGCTCAATGAAGTTGATTTTACAACTAGGATTTAAGCTAGAGAAGGGAGAATGGAATGCCTTTAATTAACAAAAGAACAGAGTAGGCACTCAAAGAGAAGTACTGAGAGTTGGTGGCCCATGGATGAGAGGCATTGGATTCTTCTGGCACTCTGATTCTATACCACACAGAGCACTACAATAAATCTTCCATTTAAAAAAAAAAAAAAAAAAAAAGATGGCGACCTGAGAGAAACTTTGTTTCTTATAACTGAAGGAAACTGATAAAACAATGAGCTACATAAAGTTCCTGATTTTCTATCTTGCTTCTTTCTGCTTACCTGGTACAGAGGAAATGTGTTGAATATGGGTGATTCACTAATAGCAGTGCTATCAACCATATACTTTGTTGATCTGAATTAATTGTTTGCAAAACAAAATCAGTTTCATGTCCTGAGAATTAGATTCTAATTGAGAATTAGAAATTTTTAAAGTACAGTGAAGATTTTTAAAAGTCCTTTTACAAAATATATGATAAAACAATTTAAAAAGACAAATCTAGAAGATGAATTAGAATGGCAACAAAGTTAAGAGTATCAGACAAGATAAGCCATTTACTTGAAAAGGACTTAATGATTTACAGTTATAAGAAACTAGATTTGTTAATGGATACATACATTCTTTTTGTCTATTTTTTTTTTTTGATAGAACACAGTGAAAACGACTTAGAGAAAATAATGCCACAAATATAGCTAAAATGTGAATGAAGCTGGAGGCAGCAAAGGACCACACACCATGAAATATAAACAGAGGAGAAAAAAGTTCGATGCCAGACAGGAAGAGAAGAACCAGGAGAGCAGTTTTTACAAATAGAGGTAAATGTAACTAAGACTGAAATACGAAATCTGATAGGTCTTAAAAAAAAAAATAGAGTAATCAATTATTGCTTAACATGCACAAGAGTTGTCCAGATTAAGTAAATTTAATTTCTCAGGGTTCATTTTTGAACTATTCTCAACCTATGGAATCTTGCTTTCAATAATTAATGATTTAGTCAGGTCAAACCATTTCCTTCCAAAAGAAAGAAATTTTTTCCCAAATAATTGGATTAGGTCTTCTGCTACTAATTAAAACAGTGAATATATCATCTCTCAGCAGTATCTTACATTCTTAGACAAACAACAACCATGCTTGATTGGCATGGTAAAATGAGCTTAATGGAGTTAGAGATAAGAGAAGCTTTTAGAGAAAAAGAGCATATATTCGGTAGATGTAAAAACATTCTGTCATATAGTTACAAACTTCAAAAAAGATTCCAGAAAGCTTGGTAATAGCTACAGACTTATTTTAACTTTTGCATTTATCCACACACAAAATTCTTTCCTGTAGTATAGGATGAAGCAAACTTTAAAAAATCAAGGCAATTTATTTCTGACATAAGGAAAAAAATACATGTAGGATTATAGCACTTGTTTTAGCTAATTTCCTCTTACAATGCTTGAATAAAGAAAACTATGTCATCTTCAATTTACTGAAAGCACTTACTTGGTAACTTTACAAATATCATTGGGCATTAGATACAAGAGTTAAGGACCACAAATTTGAATTCAAAATTTAAACTGACTTAACAATTTAAATATCTGACTAAATAATATTGGATTATAATAAAAGCAGTTTTATTCTAAGTATGCAAACATCAAAATGGAAAACAAATTGACAAAAGTATGTTCAAAATTTCTGATTTGTGATCCAATATAAAAATGTAATAAACATACACATTAATATGTAAGAATGTATTAAAAGTGAAAGGAAGATACCATTTTTATTCTTTCATTCCAATAACAAATGCTTACTATATTGCAAAGCATGATGTTAGATCTGGAAATTGATAAAAATATAAAAAAATAACTCTTATCCTTGAGAGCCTTAAAGTTACAAAGGAAGTGAGGACATATGCATAGAACAAAACAGCAACAAAATATATACATAATACAGCACAGTACATAGTGTTATAAATGGATAGGATTCAGAGAAGGAAAGAGTTCCCAGCCTGGGATCAGCAAACACTTCATGCAGGAAATGCTTCGAGTGTGATAATAAAAGGAAAGGTGGAGTGGAGGCTATAATGAGATTCCATACTGATGAAATGTCCTATATATGAGAATAAGGAAGTGAGAAACAGCAAGAATGGAAAAATGTTCTCAAAATTTCTCATGGACAAGATATCCCTTGGGGATGGGGAACAGAGTTCAAAGTTCAAGATTTAGTTGAAATCTAGTATATATCTTAAAAATAACATAAAATTTATGCTCTATTCTTTAATTAGCTGTACTTGCTTTCACATAAAAATAACATTTTTTCCTCTCAAAAATTTTCCAGTAAAACTGATACTCCAAAGTATCAGTATACTCCCAAAAGAATGCCTGGAAGCAGCAGGGACGGGATCACTGGTAGAGGAAGACAGGGCCCACAGAGTAGAAAAAGTCTTTCACCAGTCAAGCTAGATTATAAAAAAATTATTCAGAGGCCAGGGGGGAATCATGAAGAACAATTTTTGAATTGGGGAATGGCATTAGACATCTTTAGCAAAATTAGTCTGACAAGGACACAAACAACAAATTTATTCATTCAATAAGTATTTGGAGACCTCTATTATGGGTCAAGTACTGATCAGCTGCTGGAGAACTGAAATAAAGAGACAAAAATCCCTGCCCTTATGGAGCTTACATTCCAGAATGGAGAAATCAACATTAAATAAGTTGAAAGATATAATGAGAACAGACAGAAAGAGATCACAGACAGGAGAGTGGTAACTGCAAAGGAAAGGAGATGATTACAAACAACAGAAGAATTCTGATCATGCCAAAGTGACTGAGATGAAGGAATTAGGAGAATTGTATTAATAACCAAAATGAAGGAATTAGGAGACTTGTTCTGTGAGGGGAGAACAGGCAAAAATGCATTTAGATCTTTAGGCTTACAGGTACCTAATGATCTAACAGATGGAAATCCAAGATTCCAGAAAATGAGGTTTAGAGAGAAAACTTCACAATTATCTGCAGGAAGATGCAAGTGGAGGCCGCATTAGGGAAAAGAGAGAGAAGCCGAGAGCAAAGAGCAGGAGGCAGAGACTAGATAAAGGTCCATCCGGGCAGGGAAAAAAAAAAAAGGAAGCCAGAGAAGAAAGAATCTAAGAGAAAATACAAAAAAACCTAGGCAGTGAGGCATAACAGGAAGAAGGCTTTGCCAAAAAGCCATCAATAAGCATGTGTGCATTTTTGTTACTCCTCACCTGTTCATTCTTTTTCTGAACCCATTCCTTGTGCTTTTCTTCAGCAATTATCTTTCTTTTTTCCCGTACTTCCATTTCTTTTCTTTTTTCTAGTTCTTGATTTAATTCCTGTGGATTTTATTCAAACAATAGGCAACATTTAATAGAAGTACTCAAATCACATATTTTAAAAAAGGCTGAGGTTAGCTAGATTAAACAAGGATATAGTTTCCTTTATAGAAAATATACCATTAGTGACAATGACTTACTTAAGTAACTAGTCTATGATGAAAAGAAAGCTTCAGTAGAAAGTATAAATCATTTTTTAGAAATGCAAATAACTGCTTGGCAGCGAAACACTAGTTTCTTAGACTAAACGAGCTAAATTACACTCATTGAAATCAACTTTCCCACACATAAATTTTGGCATCACTTATGTTATTGGCCGTATCTCAAGAGAATTATAACTTTTTTTTACAGTTATAAAAAGCTTCTAGTTTCTTGATGAAGATAAAGGATGGGAATAATCCTTAAATTAAAATTTTAATTCAGAATTTACCACAGAAGAAATGTAAAGAAACCATTCGATTTTCTTTCGGAGAAAAAAAAGAGAATCCAGGCTTTTCTTCACTGATTTTATAGCTGCTAGAGTGTAAAACAAAACCACATTCATATCCCAGATTATTTAACTGCCGTGCTGTCACTCGAATCTACACGTTTGGGCATTTCCACAGGAGAAAGAATGTGGAAGGTATGGCCAAATAAAACTGCGAGCTGAATGCCACCACTCTGTCACTCATCAGTTAAATTACTGCATTAGTTGAGAATGCTGTTCAAACTAGACTTCCTAGAACTCTAGGACCATAATTACTGGTTATTTTTCTTCTCCCTCCTTAGATACTAATAATCAGATCCTTTTATAAGTCTTTGATTAACCCCTAATCTTCCTTTCGAACCCTCCCTTCCCAAAGACCTACCTACCTGGGGATGGGTAGTTGTAGGAAGAGCAACTTTTCAGCTCTCAGACAATCCAGTTTGTTACATAAAATGAAGACAAAATTTGACACCAAGAATGTTGTATCTCTTGTATTTTAGAACAACTGGTCACAGGAACCTCTCATCTATAAGGACCTCTCATCCTAAAATTTGCTGCATACAAAAGAGTTGCCCTCACTCATTCAGAAAGTCTTTCATTTTTTTTTTAAACTTAGTTTAACATTTTAATTTTTTTACATTTATTTTATTTATTTATATTTTACATCATTCTTCCTTTTTGTACAATGCATGCTTTCTCCTCTCAGGTGTAGTCCCTGTAAAATTCCCACCACCAATTCACCTGTGCACCATCACTATAGTCCCTTGCATTCTTTCCTCCCCTGTTTTGATCCCTCTCTCTTCCCCTCCCCTGCAGAATGTCTCTGATTAATAGTTGCTTGTTAATTTTGCTTTTTAATTTATTATAATTATTTTTTTTCCTGATCCCTTATTTGGTTCCCCTACATTCCTCCTACAGGTAAAACAATCTGGTATTTTTCTTCTTCTTCAGAAAGTCTTTTAAATACCATACTGCACCCTCCCCGTCTCTACCTAAAGTAAAAATTCCATCTTCATTTTAAAAGGATTCTTCATTACCTCTGAATTCCTTGACTACTGACTGAATACAGGAAGCTCTCATTTATCATTTTTAAGGTCCTGGAAACTACCACTTTAGGCATAATGACATAGAAGGAGAGTACACAGCCAGCAAGGATTTCTTTTTTCCTCATCCACATTACAATGAAACAACATTATTCAAGGGCCTGTTGTCCTTTTTAATGAAATGCCTACTATAAAAGTAGCAAGAACTGAGATACAGGGATAAAACTCCAGAAGTCTCTGATCTAATCTGATTCCATACACACACAAAAATTAAGTGCTCCATTGTGAGGTACTGTATATAACAGGAGTGCAGAAAAGGGGTAAGGAAGGGACGGGAAGATGAGAGGAGACACGGTGTGGACCAACGTCATCAGAAATGGGTATCATGAGAGGAAGAGAGGGAAGTAGGTGTAACTAGAAGGGAAAGTTGGGGGAAGAGAAACTAGAAAATGAGAGTGTGGCACTAATATGGAATAAGGTCTTTTGACATAGGTAGAGTAAACGGAACACCATGAAGCAGGAATACATTGCAGAAGGGATGATTTAGAGCTCTTAATGACAAAGGTTGAAGATCACATTTGAAGGGCTCGGAGCTATTGTGAGGGAGACTAAGTAGGGGGTTCCACAGCGTATGAGTTGTAAGGGGAATGAGGTCTATACTTGTATCAGAAAACAGAAAGGGGGAGCATGTGTGTGTGTCACAGGCTAGATACAGATCTGAAAACTATGCAAAATTTTCTAAAATAGTCCTGATTTTTATTTTCAGGAAAATTACTTAAATATAAAACTAAGGATATGATTGATTGTATTTATAAAACTTTTTAAGAATCCTCATGTAATTATACTCAAAAATCAGAGGAAAAAAACAAACTTTGTTTCCTTTTTCATGGTTCACAAATTTTAGCTAAATGTTGATAGAAGAATTAAAGATGAAGGTAAGGTCAAAAAGTGCCTTGAAAATCCTACCACTGACCAAACAGTGCTCTAACCTCAGGATGTCTGTTCAAGTAATTCACCATTGCTGAATATATATCACATTCAGAGACACGATCCTCCCTTCCAACGCTGGCTCCTCTTAGAATTTCCCACCCTGAATGACTCCATCTGTTCAGTGCTGAGGCAGGTCTTTCTGGACACAGCTGGAGTCTCCTCTCACGAGGCCCCTAAGTTGTCTGCTGGTACACCACTGAATTTCAACAGAATTATAGCTATTTTCCCACAGAGTAAACACTTGATTATAGAAAACCAAAATCCAAGAGGGATCCTAAGCATGCATTTTTATTTCAATAGCTTTTGTTAACTTTCAAAGATCTTCTTACCACTGAAGATAACAATCAGAAAAACTGACAGCTTTTGAGTTTCACCAACTCCATATCCTGCCCTATTCCTTCATTAAGGGCAGATGAATAAAATGGCCAAAGGTAAGACGATGAAAAAAAAATGCACCTGCTTTTACAAACTAGATAATTTTTATAATTTAGAACAGATTGTACTAAAATGCTAGCACAAATGTTAAAATTTAGAATCAACCAAAGGCCATAGAGAGTTAGGAAATCTTTTTAAAAAATAAAAATTTAGGTTGTTTCCACAGCTTAGCTATTGCAAATAGTGCTGCTATAAACATAGGGGTGCAGGTGCTCTTTGGAATGGATGTTTCTGTGTCCTTTGGGTAAATACCTAGGAGTGGAATTGCTGGATCATATGGAAGCTCTATGTTTAGTAGGTCCAGAAATCTCCACACAGCTTTCCATAGTGGTTGGACCAGTTTGCACTCCCACCAACAGTGCAGGAGAATTCCTTTTTCTCCACAACCTCTCCAACATTTGTTGTTGCTAGTTTTTTTAATATGTGCCATTCTCACTGGTATAAGATGGTACCTCATTGTAGTTTTGATTTGCATTTCCCTGATTACAAGTGATGTTGAACATTTTTTCATGTGCCTGTTGGCCATTTGCATTTCCTCTTCAACAAGAAGATGTGGTACATATACATCATGGAATATTACTCAGTATTCAAAAAAGATAAACACATGCAATTTGCAGCAACATAGATGGCGCTGGAAGGGATCATGCTCAGCGAAATAAGCCAGAAAGAAAAAGAAAAATCCCGGATGGTCTCACTCATAGCAGGAATCTAGAAAACTTAAATAAGGGACCAGGAAAAAGAATAACTATAAGAAAATATCAAAATCGACAAACAACTATGAACCAGAGACACTCTATGGGGGGTGGCGGGCGGGGAAAGGCGGGCTTGGGGTCAAAATAAGGGGTTGTAATTGTATGGGGAATATAAAAAATAAAAAAAGAAAGAAAGAAAGAAATACCAAATAAATAAATAAAAATTTAAATAACTATATGATCTATAAAACCAATATAGTGGTTTTCATATACATTGCATAATACGTTAGTATTATGTATATTCAAATTTGTCATGTTTATCATCTTAACATAGTTACAAATATAACCATTTTGTAAATGGGTAGTTTTATTGGACTAAATAATTTTTTCATTCAATCTTACAAAGATGTCTAAAACAAATCTAAATGTGTGTTGCTGAAATTAAAATTAAATTTATGAAAGAGGATGATCTTTCTAATGACCAAAATACCCTTTAAATTGTCAAAGGAGAAAGTTAAGAATGCCAGGGTACATTCAAAATTAAATATCAGGTCTGACGTATTTATTGCTAAATGTTCTCTTGGCACCGTGGAAAAATTTTGACTTCAGTTGGAAGCCAAAAAAAGTAGGATCAAGTCCCAGCCCTGCACTAACTGACATCTTCAAACTTTTTTTCTTGACAGAGTTACTTCTCTGGACTTCACGCTTTAGTAGGGATGTGGGATGAATTGTTCCTTATAGTTAAAAACCTGTGCTTTTAAAATGGCCAACAGGCGTATGAAAAAATGTTCAACATCACTTGCAATCAGGGAAATGCAAATCAAAACTACAATGAGGTACCATCTTACACCAATGAGAATGGCACATATTTAAAAAACTAGCAACAACAAATGTTGGCGAGGATGTTGGGGAAAAAGAAACTCTCCTGCACTGCTAGTGGGAGTGCAAACTGGTGCAACCACTATGGAGAGCTGTGTGGAGTTTCCTCAATCTGCTAAAAATGGAGCTTCTATATGATCCAGCAATTCCACTCCTAGGTATTTACCCAAAGGACACAGAAACATTAATTCAAAAGGGCACCTGTATCCCTGTTTATAGCAGCACTATTTACAATAGCTAAGCTTTGGAAACAACCCAAATGCCCAAAAATAGATGACATATCAAGAAGATGTGGTATATATACACAATGGAATATTACTCAGCAATCAACAAAGATAAACTCATGCCACTTGCAGCAACATGGATGGAGCTGGAAGGGATCATGCTCAGCAAAATAAGCCAGAAAGAAAAAGAAAAATAATGGCTCAGAAAGAAAAAGAAAAATACCGGATGGTCTCACTCATAGGAGGAATTTAGAAAACCTAAATAAAGGATCAGGAAAAAGACTAAGTATAATAAAGTAAAAATCAAAATCAACAAGCAACTATAAAGCAGAGACATGCTATATGCTATGGGGGTGGGGAGGAGGGAGTAGGATCAAAACAAGCGGGGGTGGGAACTGTAGGTGGACTGTAACCAAAATGAAAATGCATACATTGTGCAAAAATGAAAAATGATATAAAAAATATATAAAATAAAAAAAAATCTGTGCTTTTAATGCTGATTTGTAAACAAGTTAGAGAATATAGTAAATAAGGAGAGAAAATAAGGAATGTGTGGATTTAGAAAATAAACAAAGGAAAAAAGTATGAAAGAATGTGAGTACCACAACAACTCAAAACTGTCTTATAACAAATTGAGTAGCTGGTCTATTATATTATGGTATCTTTGGCATGACCGATACAGTAAAATTCATACTATTTTAATTGCTTCAGAGTTATGTAATAAGTCTATTACATCTATTAGCTATAAAAATGGCAAACTACTAAATACTAAATCAAAAGATTTCACTCTTTCAAGCAGTTATATCTTGCTACATGCTCAATCATTATAGGGAATTTATCTTGACTACTTTAATCTGTTCTTAAAACAAATTTTTGGTAGTTATTATCTCCTTTCACACATAATAAAAATTTTATTGAAGGCTGCCTATATATGAGGCCACATCCTGATGTTTATTTAATCCTCATAACAACACTGTGAGGTAAATATTCTCCCTTGTTCACTGATAAAGAAATCAAGGCACAGACAGGTTAAAGATTTGCCCAACCCCCAAGTTTTGAATCCAGAAAGTATGATTGAAAAATTTACACTTTAACTTCTCTCTCCCCTACTCACTCTTTAACATCTGGCGTATAGGTAGAGACTGAGGCTCAAAGAATTAACTTTTCCAAGTTCACAAAGTTTGAATGGAAACTCTAAAATTCAGTCTTGTGGAGCAGCCTCCAAAGTCCCGGCTGCTCCCTTAGGAATTTTCTATAATCTAATTAGCTTTTTATTGTAAGATGACTCTAAAATGACTTGAAGTGACCCTCCTTTTCTTAATCTAACAAGTGACTTCTGAGACTAGAGATAAAGCTGAATACCATAAAATGAACTCCAATTCACCACTGGCTCACTAAATCAGTATTTTCCAAACTAAAAGTCTAAAAGCCATTGCATGGGTGATAACCAGCCTTAAAAAAAGAACAAAATAACAGTTTTTACACAACATTAAGATATTATTTCAGGTATATGTGTGTTTCGATGTGTGTGACATACATCTGAATGTAGGCGAAACCCTATACCCCCAAATCATATATGGCATTATAAACCAACATTACCTCAATACAAAATAATACAATTAAAAATGAATGAAATATTTTAAAGATGGTTTTAAATATGTAGCTGAATTTACCTTTAGTTAAATGTTTATGGTGAAGCTCCTATAGATGTGTGGGTGTGTGTCTGTTGTGTATACATATACTAATTTACACAGAAGATAATCTGGTAGACTATCCACCATAATATTAACAATGGTTATTTTCAGGTGGTAAGATTAGAGATTTAAATTTTCTTAATTATGCTTAGCTGTATTTTCTAAATGTTCTTACTATGAATATATATCTACAATGAGTTATTAAAATTGATACATCAAACCAACACAAACAATGAAAAAATTTTGTTTTGAGGAATAGTATCATTAACATTTCAATTTCAATAGCAACTATCCTTTGTGAACTCATGAATTCAATAAAAAGCAGCCTGTCTGGGCCTCCTTGGTGGCACAAGGGGTTAAGCACAGCACTATGAAGCAATCCACAGCCTCTGCAGCAGGATTTCAATCCCAGCCAGCCAGGGAGAAACCCACATGGTGCAGCAGACCTCTCTTGTTTTGTCCACTGCTCTCCTCAGCAGTGTATTTCAGTCAGTCTGCCTGTTCTGTTCCCCCCTGTCTCTAGTGAATTCTCTCACCCCCCTGCACCTCTGGCCTGTACCCCACCTGTTGTATGCATAAATAAATAAATCTTAAAAATAAAAAAGAACTAAAAAAAAAAAAAAAAACAGACTGTCTGGTTTTACCTCTAAAGCTTTTTGCTGCTGACGATCACGTTCTTCTTTCTCTTTGCCAACAAACCACACTTCCCATGGTGTCAGGCTGCTATTTGGTAAGGGCACCTGTTTCTTTTCTTGGTTATCTTCTGAATCAAATTCACTGATACAAAAAGAGAGGCCGTTAGAGCACTTGTAGTACAAAACTCAGCCAAAACCACTTAGGCATACAGAGAAAACAGAATTTAATATTTGCAATATGGTGATTTACAAATACATATAAACTAATCTATACAAATGTACAATGAAAGATCATGAAAAAGAAGTCAGATATTTGAATTAGCTTAATCACCAAGCTGCCTTTGCATTCTTTCATCTTCTAAACTCACATTATTAAAAACCCATTGGGGGCCTCCACGGTGGCGCAGCGGTTGAGCACTGGGTTGCGAAGTTGCCCACAGCCTCTGCAGCGCCGGTTCGATCCCCAGCTGCTCCCTGGCCACCGGAGGAGGGTCCCACCTGGTGTGCAGACCTCTCCTGCCGCCCACTGCTCCCCTCAGCAGTGTCCTTCGGTCCTTCTGCCTGTTCTACTCCCCGCTCTGGCCCTGGAGAATTCTCTCACCCTCCCGCACTTCTGACTGTACCCAGTGCTTGTATAATTAAATAAATGAATAAAAAAAAATGAATGAATGAATGAATAAATAAATCTTTAAAAAAAAAAAAACCCATTGGGATAACCCACACACAGTCCATTTGCCTCAATAACAACTATTTTTTATTCTTAAGAAATCCTTTATTTGGACAACTAATTCAATATATGATCCTTATCAGATCCTGGGGCAGACTTTTCCCTTTTCCTTCCTTAAATAATTCAGGGGTAAAAAAAGAATATGTCTATAGACAGAAAATGATAACGCAAATATGTTAACAATTAGAGATTCTGAGTGAAGGGTGAACAGAAGTTCTTTATAATCTCAAATTCAGGTAAGTTTGAAATTGTTATAAAATAAAGTTACAAAAATGTTTGATTGATGCTGTTTTGTCATTTTTGTGGACAGGGTGTCCTCAGCTGTCTATAGCTTCCTACCTCCTACTATTGTCTCCACTTCCACCATGCATCTCTGTCAGCCTGTCTCTTCTGAGAACAGAGAAAAGTAATTACACAGCCAAGCTAAGGTGAATGGAGGAGAAATACTCCCAATACACACGTAAATAATAAAAAAACAACAACAGGGGCATGGCTAGCTAAACAAGCCTCATACAACTTTGCAAAAGCTGAATAATTAGCCCCCAAGGAAAGAGTGGTTTTTCAGAACCCAGGGCAGCTCTAGAGACTGTTATTAAAGACTCAACTCCTCTTTGTCTCTTTACTATTCCTGCTTCTATGGCAAGAAAAAGAAAAATAACAGATGGTTTCCCTTACAGGAAGAATATAGGGGAACCAAATGTGGAATCAGGAAAAAAAAATAATTACAATAAATAAAAAAACAAAATTAACAGGCAACTATTAATCAGAGACATTCTGCAGGGGAGGGGAGGAAGAGGGATCAAAACAGGGGCGGGAAGAGCACAAGGGACTGTGGTGATGGTGCACGGGTGAACTGATGGTGGGACTATACTGGCACTACACCTGAGAGGAGAAAGCATACATTGTACAAAAAGGAAGAATGATGTGAAATCCATATAAAATTAAAATATATATATTCCTGCTTCTGGCAACAAAATGCTTTGTCCACTGCTATGTACTTATTCCCACCTCAAAGTTTCAGTTTACCTGTGCTTTTTTTCCCTGCTATTCCTTATTCATGCATGCTCTTAAGGAATCTGTACATTAGTGGGAAAGAGGCTCATGATGAGGCGCCATGTGCTTGTGCTCTGCAGCTATGCCTAAAACTGAAATTCCTTTCCTCCACCTCCACACTTGACCAAAAGTAAGATTAGATTTGGGAGTAAAACTTCTGTGGTAAATCTGTATCTATTTTCTTCTTGCCGTGTACATGTTTCAACCTAGTTAAGCCTCTGCTTTTCTTCTATAAAATGGAGATAATAGTAGTGGGAACCTCACAGTACTACTTCATCAGCTGGAGCATGATAAAGCACACAACACAATTCCCGGCACTTGGTGCATCTGGTATATGTCGGTTAATAGTACGGTTAATTCCTACTCTCTCCTCAAGATTCAACTCAGGCACTGTCTCTATTGTCTCACAGTGAAATTCGCTGCAAAATATGTGGAATAAGGACCTTGGGCTTTGTCACTTGTCCATCTCTGCTAGAGGACATGAATTCCTTAACAGATAGAAAACATGTCTTAACTCATTTTACTTCAAGAGCCTAGCTTAGGGTCTAGAATACAGTATGCTCTAAAAAATATTTGTTGAAAGAAATCAGCTTTTTAAATGACACTGTAAGTATTAAATGTCTTGCCTTAACATTTTTAAAGTTTATTTATTTATGCATACAAAAACTGGGGTACAGGCCAGAGGTGAGGGGGGTGAGAGGATCCACCAGAGACAGAGTGGGGAACAGAAAGGCAGACTGACTGAAATGCACTGCTGAGGGGAGCAGCAGGTGAGACAGGAGAGGTCTGCTGTGCCATGTGGGTAGCTCCCTGGCCAGGGATAGAACTCATGCTGCAGTGGCTGTGGCTAGCTTCACAGATTACGTCTTAACCCCTTGCGCCACCAGGGAGGCCCGATGTCTTAACATTTTCAACTTGTGTTCAAAATGTGTAACATATATATACACCACAGCTCTAGCAATAATCAAGAGAAGCATGATAAAAACCTTTTATGACCAAGCCATTTCTTAAGACATGGGTTTCCTAATGCACAGAATGATATAAAAACAAGGATAAAGCTGAATAAACAGCAGGACCAAATTATATTATCAAAGACTTCAGGAAAAGCCTACTCACTATCTTTTCTGATGTCTGAATATATCTCAAAAAAGCCTTGTCCTATTATTTTTGACACAGTCAGATCACTGTGACAGGTGAAAGATGGGAAGAGAGCATAAAATCCCACCCAGCTCCATGTTTACTTCTTGGTCCACACAGAGGCTGCTCATTGCCTAGAATTATGGTTGCCTCTTCTCAGCCCCTCAGCCCCAAAACCATTCAGCTGGGGCACCAACTGAAAGCTACAAGTAGGGAGAAGGGATAAGAAAACTTTCTAAACACTTCATTTTCCTAAAAGGAAGTGCTATCTTTTTGAAGCATTTGAAAACTTTATCATCTGTTCTCCAGGAAGTCGGAAATAGGCACAATCACGTTCTGAACACACGCAAGGTTTGACAACCACACACTTGCCACACACAAGGTTTGACAACTCCTGCTTTCCACTCCAAAACTTACCTATTTTTTTTTTGATGCTGAGGGAATTAACTATGAGCAGAAAGGCAGGCTTAGCCATGGGATACTATCAGCTCATTCTGGCATGTATAAGCACTAAAAATAGTCAAATAACAAAGACTACTATTCCTTTTCTTAACAATAACAAATGACTACAATTTAAACAGACGATACTCGTTCTTCCTTTACTATCAACCACTTGGGACACCACTTTCCACACCAAGTCACTGCATTAATGTTTTTTTCCTGATGCCTATGCCTTGATCTTGAGCTGACTGCCTCCCTGATGTTCTGGAATTCTAGGCAAAGGAATAAATTTTGTAAACTTTTTATTATAGAAAATTTCAAACATATATGAAGTAAGCACAAACCATTGGTATTGGATAAGGAGTCTCTAATAAGGAGATACTCAGTGATTTTAAAGTTTTACTTGATAGAACTCTTAAGTCACTCCTCAACCCAATATCCCATCTTTGTCCCTGACCTCGTTCTTTATTAGAATTCCAAGGAGAGAAACAAGTGATGCTCTGCTTCCTGCCCAACACCAATGTGGGATATTTCTTTCCATATCACTCCTCATCCATCTTCATGCTAAACTCAATCTCTCTTAATTCCTTGGGGAATTTTAGAAAATGAAAAGCAACTGAGCTGTAATTTTGACAGGCATCATTCTTTAGGCTGCCAAACTATCTACATTGCTTAGTCCTACTGATTAGATCCAGAAGGTATTTCCCAAAGCCTTTAAATTAAGATCAGCTCAAGCTGATGAAGACCCCTATGAAAATGGACTCCTGAAACTCTGATTCTGCCATTGAGTTCTGCTATCAGGTTGATCAGAAAAGGCTTGTTTCTTGTTGCTACAATGAGTCTGGACAAGTGGCTTGCTTGGTTACTCTTGTTGATCTCCATTCCTACCATTGTACTGACTTCTAAATTCTCATTCTTAAGAGACTCAATGCTGTTAACTGTGTGTGTGAGTTTTTTCATATAGTTCCATTTTCCAGTGCACTAACTCCAGGTATGAAAGCCTTATACTGAGGGGGCTATCTTGCTGCCCTATGGTCTGATCTCCTGTACTGTGGCTTAGAGCTTGATAATCAGAAGCTTGTAAATGCTTTCTGAAGATGATGTAGGGAGTCTATTCCAGAATGGACCTGAATTACTAGGACTGTCTCAGAAAAAGATAAACTTCAGGGATAGGCCTTTGGGTCTATATTTCTATATAAGCAATAACAGGCAAGTAGAAAAGGGAAGCGAGAAGGTAACTGCTATACCTTAGTACCCAGCTCTGTTAATTACTAGGTATATACTTTTCGTCAGACTTGTTATTTGTATCCTGCCTCAATTTTGTTATCTGTAAAATGAGTGGCTTGATCTAGGCTGTAATTCTAGTAATGTAAAAATCATGTCTATCTTGTTTTTGGTCCCCAGTGTCTATGCAACCATGTGGCACAAACTAAATGTTCGCAGAATGAGTAACTGTAAAAATAAATAAAGGTGGTTTTAGTAATCTCTTCAGTTCTAACAGTCTCTAATTCAATGACTTCTATTCCACTGTTTAGTGCTCAAATCAGACAGCCCTGTCTCTGGATGCTGAGGGTGACATTGCTAAAATCTGTGATTCCACTCATCATTTATAACATTAAAAATATACTGCTTACCACAACCTAATTCACATTTTTCGATGTTAAGAGTTTGGACAACAGATCTGGAGCTCACAATCAGACTTTGGAATACACATACAATCCCTACAACGGTAGTAAATTTTTGTGTGTTTGAGACTATGTGCGTTTTTCCAAGGAGCGAGGTGGCAGCAATCATATTTTCAAGAAAAAATATTAAGAACTGTATTAGGCTTGTCATTTATAAGAACTGACTCAGGACATTCTATGTGCCCAAAAAAAGGGGCGGGCAGCCCCCCAGTGTGCACGGGCCTGCACCGTCTTGGGGGTTAAGATAAGAAGGTGTCTGGCCAGCAAAGGGCACCCAGAAGGGTCTAAAGGAACTTGGGCCGGGTTGTAGGGGCCGGCAGCCTCCAGTTTACCTGGCGCACCCCTGTAACTCCGTTCCTCTCAAGCTCTGCACCTTGGTCTCTGAGTCCCGCGCATCTTCGTCCCCGTCTTCCTCATCCTCCCCGTCACCATCGTTGTCGTCAAACGGGAAGCTCTGGTGGCCGAGGGGGGACAACAGAGACATGGTGGAATTGCTAGTGCAGCTCAGCGGCGGCGACAGCGAGCACCCCGCCACCGCCTCCAGGCCCTGCCCCCGGGCGCCCGCCATGACGACGGAGGGGCCCGAGGAGGACCGCGACCTGGACCTGCTGTAGGCCGGGAACCTGGTGTCGCGAGGGGGCGAGGCAGCCCCCCACCGCCCCGCCGCCCACATCAGGCCCGCCACGTTCAAACCGGCAGAGCGGCGGCGGCGGGGACGTGCTCTCCCAGCAGGCCCCGCGCGCGCCCCGCCAGGCCAATCCGGCGGGCAAGGGCCGCGCGTTGCCATGGCGACGCGTGGAGGCCGCCAGGGCTTTGTCCCGGCCTGCCTGGCTTGGCTTGGTCCGCTGGGCCCTCCGTCGCCCCGAGAGCTGCTCTGGGGCCAGAAAGGGGGCTGCTTGCTTGGGAAGTTATTTAACTCCACGCACGGGCAAGGTATGCCTCCCGACTGACTTCTTGGAGGGCCTGAATCCCCTGTTTGCTATAGTGTTGCTGTGTATTTGGTGCATGAAATCTACTCTCCCTGGCTTAAGCATCTTTTTTTTTCTTTTTTTTTTTAAGAATAGCACATTGTAAGGAATAAAGATGTAAGATTTTAAGTTTTAATTTATTTTTTAAAGATTTATTTATGTATACAACAACAGGCCAGAGATGCGGGGCGGGAGAGGATTCACCAGAGACAGAGTGGGGAGCAGAACAGGCAGACTGACTGAAATACACTGCTGAGGGCAGCAGCGGGCGAGACAGGAGAGGTCTGCTGTGCCATGTGGGTACCTCACTGGTCAGCCGGGGATCGAACTCGTGCTTTAGAGGCTGCTGACCGATTCATGGTGCAGTGCCCAACCCCTGTGCCACCAGGGAGGCCCCAGACATCCATTTTTTTTTTTTTTTTAAGGAAAAGAATCAGAAGTCAGATTTGTCCCCTGATTTTGCGAGGTCAGGATTGTAAACATGATGTCTTTCAGCAGAGGGCCATGTTATGAGGGAAGAATGGTGAACTTTAGCCAAATTCATAAATGTATCTGATAATGCACTTTTAGGACAATCTCACGATTTTTAGTAGCACCTCAATATGCCTGGTATCTTAAGGGAACCAACTTGTCTTTGCATGTGAATTTGAGGGCCTCTTTAAAATCTCTTGTGCGCTAGGGCCTGTGCTAAGCATTGGAGATAAATGAATAAGATTAAAGCCCCGCCTTTACAAGTTCCTCATTCTTTTGTGGCAAAGGATCATACCATTAAAATATTCTGTAATACGCATTTTATGAGAAAAGAAAACATTGTGTGGGACCTCGAAGGAACATTCTCTTAGGGAAGGGAATGATAATTAAGGTAGCAAGAGAGAGGTGATAAACAATAAAGCTGAATGCTGTATTTATGCTGACAAAATGCTGTACACTAATAAATAAATATGGCTTTGTCCAGCTCATAATGACTATCATGATAGACTGTCACAAAGTAAAAACTGACAATATCTAAAACAGCACACAACATTTATTATTAATCAAAAGTGATACAAATTTGATGAAATTTGAATCTGCAAAATTTGACACAGAATTAGATTTGATGGAAATAATAGCAATCACCGGCAACTCAAAAGAGAAGTTGCAATGACATAAACTATTTAAGTGAAATACTAATTTTGTTAAAATTTTCAGTAAAAAAATGAAAGTGAGGAAAATTGGAGCAATTTGAGTAATAAAATTCATCACAGAATAAAACTGGTTTAATGGAATTTTCATTCTCTACCTTATTCAGTATTGGCATACCTGGTTGAAACCTATCAGAACATCCCCAGAATCAATAAAAATAGCATCAAAAGAACCTGAGCCACTTTAGGGCTTCTTAATAGGTAAACTGAGGTCAGCTATTCCCAATAGACATAAACTGATACAACTGAAGCACAGAAAACACAAGTTCAATTATGAAAGGAATCTGCATTTGAAAGGGTGGTTTGCCCCTTCCTCCGTGGGTTTCCTTAAACAAGCTGTTTGACCTTTCTGAATTCTAACTCTGTAAAATAGGGAAATAATCTGCCTCCTGGTTCTACTATGTCATTCATTAATCTTCCAAGCTTTTAGCATAGAATATGACAAAAGAAATGATGAATGATAAATTGTCAAACTCCTAAACTTCCATTTGGTTTGAAAATCTAAAATGTCATATACTTCTCTGCCTCCTTTTACAAAAGTTGCTCCTTGTGATCATCATTATGACTAAGTATTGCATCATGTTCTAGTAACACAGGCATTCCAAGACAAAGAGCAACATGGTCCTAGTGCTTGAACACCGTGCTGTGGTCTCTCTTACAGTGCCTTTCCATTACAGGGACTGAGAAGCCTTAATCAAATTTAATAAAAATATGTAAAAGTTTATGAATAAGTTCAAAAGAGGGACTCTTCCCTTATCTTTTAGGGTACTGACTTAGCAGCTTCTTTCTTACTACTCCCTTTATTTTCACTTTCATGGCATAATTGAGAAAATCTGTGTTTTTGCTGGCTTTGAAACCGGTGGGTAAATGCAATGACTTTTGCCTAAAAATGTGTGACTTTGTTACAAAAATAATACCATTTAGCAGCTGGCTCTGGGGCAATCTGTTAAGTAACTGTTAAAAATGTATCCCTGGATACTGAATTATTTACAGATAAAAGAATATGCCTTAGATTTGCTTCAAAATAATCAAAGGGGTAGAGGGATGAAAGTGGCTGATGATGAAACAAAGTTACCATGTACTCTTGATAAGGGTGGTGGGCAGCCTGGGTGTAGAGGGCTGAGAGGATGAAGGGAAGGCAATTACAGTATTCTCTCTACTTTTTATTAGGGAAATTTCAAACACATACTAAAATTTGAAACAAATTTTTTTTTTTTAAAACGATGTTGGTTTGTATTCTAATTTGCAGTGTGACTTAGGTAATTCACTTAAATTTCATTAAGTCCTCTATTTGCCATTCTCTAAAATGAGGGCTTATTGGGAATATTGACTAATTTCTAAAAAATTGGGCAATAGGTGTCATACAGGTTTTGAAATCGTTTCCTTTTAAATAAAGATCTAATTGGTGGTATAACTTAAATTTTACAATTTGTTTTCTATAACTTTGATTCAGACTCAAAGAGTAAAACCTTACTTCTATATTCCAGCAAAGTATTCTCCCAATATTTCTTCTCATATCCTTCACTTTAAGTGTTTTACTTTAATCTGCTTCCTTTTACATTAAGCAAATTCATTAGTATACCTAAAAATTATGGCAAGGTGGTTTTCTAAAAACTTTAATAAAATTCAAACACTACATACAATATTGTATTTCCTACCATCCATATAACACAATTCACCACATATATTCAATGTTGTTATATTTTTAAAATCAATGTAATGAGATTTTTAGTACTTTGAATTTTGAGGAAAAAAACCTTTTAGCTAAGATTTTTTTTTTACCAAGTTATGATTTAATATTTATCAGATATGTAAATATACAAACATGATATCGATTTTAAAAACATGTGAATGGTAGGCCTTACAAAATTACAACACGCTGTAAATAGATCCCTCCCACATTTTACACAAACATGATTTTGATATACAAAGATTCTGTTTTTATTACACTGACAATGTACAACCAAGACTATTTACAATGCAAAAAAGTATATAAACCACAATTTAACATTCTGCTACTGGCAGCCACTATAGTTTAGGAGGTAGCTTTAATTAAACAAAATGAACAGAAGCCACATTTCCCAACTTGTGTTCTAAAAAATAATTTACATAAGATAAAAATTCATTATATGCACATTATATACAGTTTAATTATTAAACTGCAATCTAGCTTAATGTCATTTAGTGTATCCTGAATCACTAATATGGCAGTGAGTTTGCTATTGATTTAGCATATTGTTCAAAAAACATATTGAACATCTTTAATTTTAAGACTCCACATAGTGACATGTCAAAAGTTCATCAATGAGAATCAAGTAAAATTTTTAATTTTTAAAGACACAGACCCCAACTTTATTCCTTTTTTTTCTTAATGACATATTTATCTTGTCTCACAAGAACACATCATCTGAGCTGTTGCATAGGCTCTTTCATGAATCACAGTATGGGGGAAATGTTTGGAAGCTTCTGTGTAATAGCACAGGTTCAGGAGAATCCAGCTTACTAAGAAATACATGTAAGTGCTTTGTGTCATAATTACTCCCAATTCTTGCAATTAAATGCAACTATTTATCACAGTTTACTTTCTGTATAGTTCAAACAATAAAGTAACATACCAACAAATTTGGAAAATATTGGTAGAGCCAGATATTAGGAAATGTTTATTAACGGGAACATTCTAGGGAGCTATCAAATCCCTCAGATACTACTTAAATCCCATATTAATTAGTAGTTTAGTAAAAATCTACTAAACCCACCCAGCAAATAGCCCTTTACTTTATCGTAGTAGTGTGATCACAAAAGACTGAGGAAATAATTGCTGGAATCACACCAAAGTGATACATAAAGACCGAAAACAAATGTTCAGTTATTTGTTTTAAATCTAGCAGTTGTTAATATTGTTTTAAAAACATCTTCAGGTTTCTAAGTTACAAATGAATTAAACAAAATTTGTGATTCTATTATGTCAAAGACAGAAGTAGAAAATGCAATAAGGTAATGCCTACAACATACTCTCACAGTTCTACCTAGGAGACAGTCCCTTTTTGGCCCTGCAGTAAGTTGTCCTGAGATTAATGATGAAAACATTAGGTAAATTAGCATGACTTTTTCTTTAGTTATATAAAATCACACTTTAAAATATTCTTTAAAAAATATTAACAGCTGTTCTTTATCTTGTGCTTAATTCAAATAGGTACAAATTTGCTTCTTATGGATCCAAAAAACCTAATGTTACATTGCTATGATATACACATCTTTTTCAAGTTACAAATTTGTTTTAAATAGACCACACACTGCGTGGACATCACCTTTTCCACCAGTTGATAGTTTAGGCACTTGCTCTTTGAAAATGTCTGGTTTAAGAAATAAACTGCCACCTTCTCCTTCTTCTAAGTGACACCAGGCAGTGATCACAGAAGTGCTTCCCAGATGAGATCAGACCAGGGTTCCCTCTATAAACACTGTGATTTTGGTTGATGGGAGAAACAGTCACAACATATTCATTCAGTCTTTGACTCTTGGTAGATTATAAGCATAGCGCACCAAAGGGAAGCCTCGACTCTGATAGAAGCAGGCTCGTCCACAGGCCTGCACCTGGTCAGAACTGTCCGAGACAAAGGAATCTTCTTCATCGGCATAATCGGAGTGGGCCGATTGTGTCCCACAGTCGGACCAATAGCCATCTGGTCTTTGGCAAGAACCCACTGCCAGTGCAGGACAGCTGTGTGATTTGATTAAGTGTTTGCATGATACTGGCTTTGTCAAAAGAAATGATTCGCAGCAGTCACACACAGCCAGGTTGCCCTGCAAGTGGGAGTACATGCCACAGTCATAATAGAAATCCTGTTCCACACAACCAGCTTGGCTACTAATGGAAACTGACACTGATCCACTTTTCTTGGTAATATGTCGCTTCAATATCTTCCAGTCTTCTTTAAACTTGGGGTTGAAGAAAACATACAGGACTGGATTCAGGCAAGCAGGCAATGGAAAGAATATCAGAGTCACAGACTTCATTATTTCGGGGCTGATAGAGATCGCAGTGATCAATGGGGCAAATGAAAAAAATGCAACAGGACAGAAAAAGATGCAATTGGTGAAGATGAGCCAAGCAACGTGCTTAATCATGCTAGAATGTGAGTTCTCGGAAAGGTCCTCTTTTTCCAAGTTGCAGTAAAGTTTAGTGTAGATAATGGCCATTAATAAAAACGCTAGTGAGTTTAATAGCACTAAGGTTACAGTAAATCCTAGTGACGGTGTTTCTCCTGTAGGAAATGGCAAGCACAGGGGAGATGCGGAGTATTCCCCTCTGTGGAAAAGTGGGAAGCAGCCTGCTACAGAAGCACCCAGAAAAGCAAAAAGGGCAGCAATCCGGAACTGTTTGAGATGATTGCTTTTTCCATTTTTCATTATATCTTTTGCAGATAAACTTCTTTCAACGGTTGCTAACATTAATAAAAAGATGGCACTTTCAGAGGAGAAAATGGCGAGAAACCCAGCTATTTTACAGCCACTGCCACTCTCCCACCAAATGCCAAATTCAGCAAATCTGCCCCAGGACACAGCATCCAAAAATGTTAAGATGCCAGTATAGGCTCCCATGAATAAGTTAGACACAGCAATCAGGCCTATGAATAATTTGGAGGAAGGCAGTGATGTACAGGATGCAAATGTTGTTAAAATGACAACCATGTTGAAAAACAACGCAACCAAGAAAATGAACCACACAGTAAGACGGATCATCCAACTCCCCAGTAAGTATTCACAGGGCTTAAAAGCACCTAAAATGGAGAAAATGAGAGAAATAAAAGACAATTTAGAAAATACTATAATCCATATAATATAGCTTGATAGAGGAATAATAGTTCATCCAGACTTGATAAATCTGCTACCAAACTAAATTAAACCAAACGGAAACGATTATATCTTAGATAAAGTTTAGTCATTGCACTAGGCTAGGCTAATTTTAATCAATTCAGTTTTCCTGTATTAAAGACTTGGTAAAGTCATATGAAATTTAAAGGAAAATTTTCGAGTTTCCTTATACATAGGTTAATGTACACAGCACACGTACATGAAAAACATTTGATATATACCATTGGCCTGGCATTGGCCAGGAACCCTAAATTCAGACTGCTGCTTTTACTTGAAAGCCATCTAAATTTCCATAGATTTCATTTTTCTCACCTGTGGATAATCCTATTTCACAGTATAGGGTAGCTTAAATAAAATGACATAGAGAAGGTACCTAAGAAGCCTCCTGGGCACACTGCTCGACTTTAGTAAATATTAATATTAGGTCCTTTCCTCTTTCCATCCTAGTCCTAATATACTTCATAGTAATTCTGTATCTATACATATTTTTTTGTGCATGTCTCATTGTTTTCAAAGGCAATCTGATCGTGAAGGTTAAGATAGTTATAAGTATCCTCATTTTTCATCCAGAGAAATTGGAAGAAATTTCAAAATGTTCATTTGATCCAACAAAGATTATTCAGTAAAATAGTATAGTTAGGAAAAACCATACTAATGCTAACTATTGATACAAAGCTATGTCCAATAAAACTCTATGGAACTTAAACTAGGATTACAACAAATAGTTTAGTAGCTAAATGATATGTTCCACTAACTGACTTAGACATGCTAGTTATATCACAGACAACTGTTTTGTTTAAAAATTAGTAAAGAAAAACACAATTTTGCCTACAAAGCACAAGAAAACTATATATTGTAATTGTTCTGTTTTATTTTTCTGAACTGTCATGAAGTTAGACACATTCTGTAAAGAATTTTAAATACTGAGATATTCACAGATCTAAGAAGCAAAGTCTGCACCATTTATATCTGACTTCTAAATAACACAAGAAACTTTTAAATATGACTTATCTTTAAATTGTTTTTACTCCCCTCCTCTAACTGAGCTCGTTCTTCTTCTTCAAGGAAGAAGGGGTAGCTCCTCGGATCTAGGAGAGCAGGATGCTCTTTGGGAACCAGTGTTTGAGTAATGGGTACAGTCATTTTTTTCTTCAAAAACATGGGAAGAAAGCCCCACCTAGTCTGTCTTTGGAAACCTCCTGCCTCCTCCAGTTCTAGCCCAAAGAGCCTGTTCTCCTGCACTTGGGGCTTCTGCAGTGTACAGTGGTATACTGTGACAGAGTGGAAGAGGCTCATCCCAACTGCAGCACAGTTGGGAGGAGCACAGATCAAATTTCCTCTTGGCTGACCCTAAGATTTAAATTCTCATACCCCTCACATCTCTGGCATGTACCCCAGTTCTTGTATGCATAAATAAATAAATCTTTTTAAAAAATAAACTCAGTGTGGAAGAAATGAAACCTGTGTGTTCAAGTCTAGCTTCCCCTTTAAGCTGTTCCCTTTTTACTGAGTTGTCAGTTCCCAAGGAAACTCTCCAACACAAGAACCCCAATGGAGCAAGTGAGCAAGCTGTGCCTCTTAATCTCCAACAGTTAATATAGCAAATAAGTAGAGTGAATTTAAATGATTCTCGTCAATCCCAATCACTCATATGGTAACTTAAACCTTATTCTCTACACAAGGTACTATACTAAGTATTAAAAGAACACAAGCAGGACATATTAAAAAAACTAGCCAACAACAAATGTTGGCGAGGGTGTGGAGAAAAAGGAACTCTCCTGCACTGTTGGTGGGAGTGCAAACTGGTCCAACCACTATGGAGAGCTGTGTGGAGATTTCTGGACCTACTAAACATAGAGCTTCCATATGATCCAGCAATTCCACTCCTAGGTATTTACCCAAAGGACACAGAAACATCAATTCCAAAGAGCACCTGCACTCCTATGTTTATAGCAGCACTGTTTACAATAGCTAAGCTTTGGAAACAACCCAAATGCCCAAAAATAGATGACTGGATCAAGAAGATGTGGTACATATATACCATGGAATATTACTCAGCATTCAAAAAAGATAAACACATGCAATTTGCAGCAACATGGATGGCACTGGAAGGGATCATGCTCAGCGAAATAAGCCAAAAAGAAAAAGAAAAATACCGGATGGTCTCACTCATAGCAGGAATCTAGAAAACTTAAATAAGGGACCAGGAAAATGAATATAAGAAAGTGAAAATCAAAATCAACAAAAAACTATGAACCAGAGACACTTTTTGGGGGTGGGGGGCGGGAGGGGAAGGATTGGGGTCAGAATGGGGCGTTTGCAATTGTATGGGGAATATAAAAATAAAATTTAATATTAAAAAAAAAAAATAAAATCAAAAAAAAAAAAAAAAAAAAAAACCACAAGCAGGGCCTGCCAATAAGCTCACAATTTGGACATACTCATTAGAGAATCCATAATACTAAACGAACCTGAGTTACAACATTAATGTTCACATCATCCTCTGTTATTATACTAAAACAGGAATCAACTTCCTAGCACACAGTTTAGCCAATTATTTACTCTTTTTTTTAACAGTAAAATTCTAAATCCATCATGACCAAAGATTTGGCATCAATTTAGCAACATTTCCCAAGTCTAATAGTGCTCACTGAAATAAAATAGAAAAGGGAATGTATTAAAAGTAAAAGGAAAAGACTAAAAATCAGTGACTGAAGTCCTCATCCCAGAGTTGAAGGGGCATAGAGGAAGTGTCTCTTGAACTTGAACATGCAGAGCCTCCTTCTGAGAAGCTTGTTGCCACCAAGATCCTGATTCAGTGGGCCTGGGCCTGAGATTCTGCAAGAGAGGCTGAGCTTCTGGGCACATAGACCACACTTTGAGTCAGGAGACCTTAGGCAATCATCTGGTCCCACTATACTACAGAAATCATGGTTCTCACAGAAGTTTTAGATTTATCTGCCTAATGTTCATTTAAAGTGAGAAACTACAGCGATGTGCTGAGCATACCTGTGGAGGGTGTACAGTGGATGATTATTTGACTGTGTTCTTCATTTTCAGCACTGCTTGTGACACCTGCCCCATCCGTGAGACCTGAACATAGAACATAAACTGTGTTTGATTCATGTTTTTAGGCCATTCCAGAGAACCATGTTTTTCTGCAATCTGCAGTCTTTTATTTTTTCCATGATGTAAATCTGGCTTCACAGCATATTAAGATGCCAATAACACTGTAAATGCCCTTTTTCTTATAGACTTCATGTCAATCCTTCACAAACTGATTACAGTAACAGAAACTTTGATTAATGCTATAAAGAGTGTGCTGGTTGAAAAAGTTCCTGCACTTGCCTTTGTCCTTTGCCACGCTGTGGTCTTGGAGGCTGTTATCTTCGCTGTTTACATGTGCATAAGAGTCACAACCCCAAAATGCACAGCACTGATAAGCATATGGTACAGATAAAGACCTGGAAAAAATTGTAAAATCCACATTGTATACCAGCTTAACAGACATGCTTTTGTTTTGTCAAAAGCTTTTTATCTTTGAAAGTCCCAGCCTAGGAGTCAGAAAGGCTTAACTGTCACAAACTTTAGGTTGGTCATTATCTATGGGCCTCAGTTTCCTCACCTGTGAAAAGAGTTCTAATATCAGAAGATACCAGAAGTTTCTCCAGTGAGATGAAACATGCATTTAAAATCTAAATTTAAATCCAACCATTTTAAATGTAATAGCAATACAGCAATTTTAGGTACAAGCTTATCAGATTTCTTTTATAAATGAAATAACCACACCCTACTTGTCATATGGAACTGGCAGTTTCACTTAAAATTAATGCCCCAGGTTATTTGTCACTTTATTCAACTAAATCCATTTATTCTGTTCATATAACTATAGTGAAAATGTTTATTCTCTTCTCTTGCCAATAATATCCCCCAGCCCTCTATCTAATGAGGCTCCCCACCCTGAAACTGTAATGTGAAGTAGTAGAGTGTTGTATAAACATTCTGAAGTTCACACTTAAGTGGTTTCTACCATCTGGTTACTAGGGACAAATCCACTATTAAAAAAATAGAGTAATTTTATTATCATTCTGACAGCATAATGGGCTTCAAATTCAAGTTCCTAAAAACTATGGAAGGATGTTCATGCTCTATTCTTTACTAAATTTGTAAGGATTGATGTAGAAAATACTCTTAAACTATAACTTCCCAGAAAAGCAACAGCACACTCTATAATTTGAGGGCCTACCATCATTGCAACAAAATGGAAAATAAGCCAAAACACACCTGAGATTAACAAAATCTTTTGCTGCTAAAGCTTCTTTCAGCTTGAAGTTGCCCACAAGTTTCAGTTGATTTAGACCGCTCAGGCCTTCCTTAGGAAATGAAGTTAATTCATTGAAACTTATGTCTCTAGAATGTGAAAGAGATTTCTAATTAGATCCTAAGATACAAATAAAAACATCTGTACATAGGTTAACATCACAAATACCAGAGTCCTGGGAGGAAGTTTAGATGTGCTAGAATATAGGTTAAACATTCATCTTGCCATCTTAGAAGCCGTTCTATACCCTTGCAGCTTAGCATTTATATAAGGAAAAAGAACCAGAAAAATATTAAAATATTTTGAGAGGACAGTGCTAAACCACAGGATCCTGTAGACTATTTACTATTTTTGTAGTGTTACTGAGTAAAAGATCAACTTACAGGTTAGTTATTGACCCAAGCTTGGCAAAAGCTGTGTTGTGAATTTCATGGATCCGGTTTCTACTGAGATCTCTACAATTATAAGAATAATATGTTAATATTTTCAAACCAACTCAAAATGCAGTTACTCGGACTGCAAAGTGAGGTAGGCAGACATTCCTGAGACGATAACAAAGATCTTAAATCTTGTCCAACAACATTTTTTACGTTTATGTTGTATTCCTCTCCTATTTCTCTTCCATGGAATGTATCCCATGCAGCAGTAGTTGTAGCTGGCATCTATTTCAAAACAGTTGTGAATTTTCTCCACTTTATCATTCTGGTACAAGTTCAAAAATATAAATGATATGACAGAACCTTTGGCACTATTATCTAGGTGAAGAAAAACCAAGCTCTTGACAAAGCCGAAAATAAAAACAGGCTTTATACTATTTGCCTTCTCAAAGGTTAGTGATAAGGCCCCCCAGAGAAGACAAATAATCAATATGCAAACAAGAGCATTCCAAAAGGGCTTCAGATATCATTCTTTTCCCAACCAGGAAATAAAAACCTATCATTATCAGAACAATACTCTCCTCAGGAACATACCCAGAAGGATTCTGAGTTCTGGGAGTTAATAAAACAAAAAATCTAAGACCACATTTAAAGCAGGTCTTCTTTTTTAATTTATTTATTTATATATATTTTATATCAGTGCTCATTTTTGTACAATATTTGCTTTTTCCTCTCAGGTATAGTCCCCATAAAATTCCCACCACCAATCAGGTCTTAGTGGAAATTTAAAGATTGAATAAAATCACTCCATAACACATCTCCTGAATAACAGGAAAACTCCACAAAGTGGGTTCCAAATCATGAAAAGGGCAGCTTTTCACTGGGGTCTTTTATCAGCACTCTGGAAGTGATGGCAGTTAGAAGCCAGTCCTCTTCCTCCCTTCTGCCCAGACCCACAGTAAGCCTGTCAACAACAAGGAAAGATCTGGCAACCAACTATGAATAAAATATTTTCTAGCACAATGCATATTTAATTTCTTAATGGCTGTCAACTGGAAAGATAATCAATATATGTAACTTCACTGTCGATTTGTCATGTTTTGGGTTTTTTTTCTGTATTAAAAAAAGTTCACTAATTTAGTATATTGTGTTTTCTGCACTAAAGTTCTGTGAACACAGAGACAAGGTTTTTTGTAGTCAACTTTCTTTCCTCCAGTGCTTGGGGTACCCAGCACAAATATACACTCAGATACAAATTCTTAAATGAGGACTTTTGCTATGTGTTAGCTGTATTTGTCATGACAGACACCCCAGTGCAGAGGTCAACAGTTTTTCTGTAGAGAAACAAATAGTAAATGTTTTTCACCTCTGGGTGGAAGTGGGGGGTGGTCACATAGTCTCTAGTGCAACTGTTCAACTATGCCATAGTATATGGTGAAAGCAGCTTTAAATAACACTTAACAAAAGAACCTGGCTGCGTTCCAATAAAACGTAATTTAGAAAAACAGGAGGCAGGCTGGATCTGGCCCACAGGCTGTGGTTTGCCCACCCCTGCCCTAATGGACCAACAAACCTTATTATTATGACTTGAAAACAAACAATCTGCATCTACACATTATACTTGTTCACTGGCTAATGTAGAATATCATGAAATACTGAAACCAGATTATTATAAAGTGCCAGATGAAAAGATTCAACAATATTTACAAATAATAACACCTATCTTTTTATCTGTTACAGTGGGACTAATGACACCGTAATTTATATTTTGACCAAAAATTTAAGTTGTCTTGAATAATTATACAGAAACTTACAGAATCCTTAAGGATATCAGGCCTTGAAAAGTACCTTCCTTTATTTGGCGGATTTGATTACGTTGCAAAGAACTGGAAGAAGGAAAATAAAGAAGAGAATGTGGGAAGGGGAGTGAAAAGACAAGAAAAAAATTATTTTTCATTTTGAAAAATATAATTTCTCAATGAAACCTTTTCTTATTTTAAATACTTTTATTTTAAATATTCACTGATTGATCTTGTGGAAAGGGATTTGCTGTTGCCTCACCTACAAGATGAAAGGATTAGACTAATTGGTATTCATTCCAAACTACACTGGGAATTGAGATGCACTATCTACATTCCGTGTCAACCCCACTCAGATGTGAGAGAGGGACAGCACATGAGAAAAGCTCCAAGGCAACATGACCATAACCAGCCATTACAGAAGGTGAGAGAGATAAAAAATGGGAGAATTAATGCCTCCTTCATTGCATCTCCTGGCCAGCTTTCATCAGGGTCGTCCTTATAGGTACACTATAAATATATGATCGCCACGTCTGGATTCCCTCAACAGCCAAGACAAGCTTTTGCCTGTTTTGTTTTTGTTTTTGTTTTTTTATACAGCACCCTCCCTGAATGTATCTCATAGAATTCCTGATAGACAGGTAGGTGCCCAGTAAAAGCTGGCTACATAAACACACCTAGTAAGAGTTTGACGTTTATTCATAGATATACCTAGTTATATGAATTCCTAATTTCTTAACATGAAAGCCATTCATTAAGATAGGAAATGCCCAATGAATTGACAATACACCACAGCAAAGGAGTAAGTCAAAGACCAACTTACATTTCTTCCAGAGAATGACATCCATCAAAGCTTGGAAGGTCTTTTATATTGTTGTATGATAAGTCCCTTAAAACAATGGGAGTTAAAAATTAATTTCATGTTATCAGAATACTATATTAAGAAGAGTTGTACTGAGAAGAATAGAAAGCAGCGTTAGGATCTGTCATAAAGATTCATGGCTGGGGGCCTCCCTGGTAGCGCAGCAGTTGAGCGCTGGGTTGCGAAGCTGCCCGCAGCCTCTGCAGCACAGGTTCGAACCTCGGCTGCTCCCCGGCTACCGAAGGAAGGTCCCACATGGCGCACAGATCTCTCCTGTCGCCTGCTGCTCCCCTTAGCAGTGTACTTCGTCACTCTGCCTGCTCTGCTCCCCGCTCTGGCTCTGGTGAATTCTCTCACCCTCCCATGCTTCTGACTATACCCAGTGCTTGTATAAATAAATAAATGAATGAATGAATGAATGAATGAATAAATGAATAAATAAATCTTAAAAAAAAAAAAGATTCATGGCTGAACAAGAAAGCAACTAGGCTTTTTCTAGTAAAACTTGTGAGTTTCTGAACTACCTAAGTGATACAACAGGCTTAAGATTTGCAAACTTCAATACATAATGTTAAGTATAGACTATGTAAATATATTTTAAAACAAATATATAAAATTAAAGATATAAAAACATACTACAGGAAGTAAACATTATGTTCAAGGGATAATTATGGATTTTTAACTTTGTTTTATAATATGGGTTATATCACAATAGTTTCTATGTTAAATTAATTAAAAAGCTATAGGAAGTGGGCCTCCCCGGTGGTGCAGCAGTTGAGCGCCGGGTTGCGAAGCTGCCCGCAGCCTCTACAGCGCCGGTTTGAACCCCGGCTGCTCCCTGGCCACCGCAGGAGGGTCCTGCCGCCCGCTGCTCCCCTCAGCAGTGTACTTCGGTCCTTCTGCCTGCTCTGCTCCCCGCTCTGGCTCTGGTGAATTCTCTCACCCTCCCGCGCTTCTGACTGTACCCAGTGCTTGTATAAACAAACAAACAAAAACAAACAAATAAATAAATCTTTAAAAAAAAAAAAGCTATAAAGGAAGAGCATGCATATTCACACTCTAAAAACATTTACATTATGTTAAATATTGGAACTAGTTAACCCTCAATCCCACTGCAGTTTTTCCTCAGTGATGACTTCTAAGTTTGATATTCCGTGACACTCTTTAATTACTTGTTTAATCAATTGGTCACTTATTCTATTACTGTCTCCCTCTACTGAATACTTATTAACAGCTTAGTAACTTAATTGTTTGTTCGTGCTACATTTTTACATTCTTTATTTACTTTTAATTTCTAGGTCAGCTTAAATGTTTTTGGAAGCTTCATGCTTAATGGTTCTTGATCCAAGAAAGATTTGGGCTTTGGATGTTATATTAAGGATGAAAGAGCAGGATGGTAATAGAGAGTTAACACCCTGGGGCAGCCAGAATAAGGATAAGGAGCCGGGACAAGAAAAAGAAAAAAAAATGAAGGACTAGTCTAGCTTGGTTTTATTCAACTCCTTCTATCACACAAGATATGTGATATAAACATGTAACTGTAAAAACCAAATTCAAAATATACATTACCAACCCACCCTGAGGATCACTAAAGCACCTGTTCATTTTTCCACAAAGGGGAAAAAAAATTATACCTTAAAATCATCTAATGAAAATAGTTCATTAAAAGTAAAACTCAACATGGGATAAATTTGTGCAAGGCAGGCTGCGATAGGAAGATGAATCCCACTTACAAAGTCCTAAGCATCTTTTGTTCTTGGCACAAATTACTGGATATGCTGCTTATCTTCGTACCTGTCAAAGTCCTGTGGAAAAAAAACAGTGTCCACCTAAGAAACGATTCAAGCTGAAATGGTAAACAAAATGCTATTCTCATATGGAAAAACAAATGCTCCCAAATTTGCATGTGCACTAGAGTGTCTCCAGCCCACTGGCTAATTATCCCTAAAGACAGGCATTTAGGAAGGTGAATTAATTCTCAACACCAATACCATTTTCATAGTTATGCAGAAAAGCTTGTGGTACAAGAAGTTAACATCATCAGATGACCAGACTGATTTCTCATATTGGCCAACACCACTAATCACTGTCACAGCATTTTCACAAACACCTACAAGCTCTGTCATCCCCTCACATCCAAAATAGGTAAAAGCAATTTAGCATTCTGCCCCTGAACCTTGTCTCTCTTCATTCAGTCATTTGACTCAGCATTCTGAAATTTTCTTTTATTTGCCTCCCTCTCTTTGTTTTTATGGCTACTGTGCAGATCAGGGATAGCATAAGGCAGAGAATGGTGAAGAAATTTCAGGCCAAAAGGAGGAGGAACCCTAGTGATGAAGACACAGAACCCTTGTGGTTAATGTGTATATTTCACCAAATAGACTAATGCCTCACCATTTTCCTAACACTAGTCTCCCTTTTCAGTGTCCTCCCACCATCTGCTCCACATTCTCAACACCACTAAACTGCCTTAAAAGTTAAGTTTAAATAATTTAGCTCAGTGTTTCCTAACTTCTGGCTGACATCTTGTCACATGTGAAAATTATTTATGTTCACGTGACATATTGCAGTAAGGTTCCTTTGGTTAGAGACCCCACCTGGCTGCCTGGAGCTCAGATCATCAAAAGCTTGGATGCATCTATAACCTAGTCATAGTCCACCCATTGATAAGCCATAACCAAATGTTCAATGTGCAAGGTCTGCCATTTTAAAATTGCAACCCAATTTTCCAAATATCTCTATATTACTTCCCATTCCATAATAAACAGGCAATTCCAGCATGCTTAGTCATCTGTGTGCTATCCTTGAGTGTATTTTCATATTCCCCATTTTACCAGATCCTGCCTTACAAGGAGTCTAAATCCTTACTTACAAGGAGTGCAAATATAAGACACAGTCCTGAAAAACCTGATAGCATTCAATTTGAAACACCTCACTTCCTCCATGAAGCATGCTCTAATACTCTATATCCAATATACTTCCTAAAATCCTAAAGAAGTCTTCTAATATGGCACTCAGTTAATGCTTTACATTTTCAGTAAACTTTTCAGATCTTATCTCCACATTCAAGACTACACTCCACCTAATATGACTGACCCAAACCCAACATACTTATCTCCATACATGCGTGATATTCACAAAGGGAAATTGTAGGGATTGATAAAAACTCATCATCATTATCACCAAAAAGCAATGACTCCCCCATGGCAGGCCAGTGCATTATCTTTACACAACCCATCTTTGAAAGGTCACACTTACAGACTCTCCAGATGGCTAGTCCCAGTCAGATTAGGGAAATGCTGCACCAAGCTTGCGCCACGAATGACCCTTTTAGAAATTGGGAAACAAAAATAAATTCAAAATCAAAAGTTTTCATAGATTACATTTTCATTCTATTTTTTAAACAGTTTAAAACTATAGTACTACTTTACCAAACAATAAAATTAGTTTCCCCTCTTAAATGTATCTGAAAGTGTGATAATTGGTGCTCACTTAAGTAAGAACCATCATAAATTTTCAGAATTGTCATTTGGACTTCTGTCCGAGGAAAAAAATTGAAAGATCTTGTTTTCTGGAGTTACTTTAATATATTCTTATTTCCCACTAAATCAATTGTATAAATATTCAGGTTTGTTTTTAAATTTGTATGATACTTACAAGGAGTGCAGATCAGATAGATTGTGAAATGCTGAGTTCCCCACAAAAGATAGAGGATTATCATGCAGATGTCTGTAAAAATACCCCAGAAAAGCAAAGTTTTCATATGTTCGCAAGCATTCCAACTACTAAATCTATATTCACTAAGCCTATTTATCTAAAAGCTTGAATTGCCATTCTTCATCCAGATGTTTGGCATAGTACAACATAGCTTTACATGACTATATACTAAAAAAAATATCTTAAAACTACTTACATCGTTCTTAAGAGTGGATTACCATCAAATGCTCCATCAGGAATAACAGAAATGGAGTTACTGTGAAATAACCTAAAATAATAGGAGAAAAATGTTTTGAAATGCATATCACCTGTAAAATAAGTTAAAACACAAGTTATCTACTGCTGTTCAGTATGATTTAAAATACAACTGAGTGTGCACAAAAATTTTAAAAATGTAGGGAAACTGTATTTTTAATTCCATCTCATCTTCTTTGGGACTCTATCTAATTCTTTCTAAACCCACTGTTTAACCTGGTATCTGTCAGGGGTCCTGTACATGGACCTATTACTTTATCTTCAAAGAACTTTAGACTAAGAGAATCATAAGGTATTCTCATCCCAAAATATTTCTGTTGCCTGCATTTGGACTTTAAGCAATACAGCTTACAATATTAACTGTCAATCCATAACTCAATTCCTGGTATGCCATATACTTTCTTATCTCTGGGAGATAAGAAATTTTGATAGAAAATTAATTTTCTTATGTTTTCTTGACAAATCCAACATCTGAAATGTAGCCTCATCCCTTTCATTTATTTAAGTATTTCCAGTCTTTCAAGCCCAGTCAAATTTATTCTTTTTATGATGATGCCCTTTTTTATCAACCTCAATGAGATTTTCTTCTGGAATGATTCATTTGTTCTATTTAGGACAAGTCTACCTAGAAACTACTACCTATCTCCCTCTCCCATATGGTCAGCTTCCCCAATGAGACTAAGATTACAAGCTCCTAAGAGACAGAGAACATACACTACAGGGTTATTTTCACCAGTATCTATCCCTATACAGTTTTCTACATTCCACATTGTCCATGTTAACTAACGTGATATAATCTGTATGATTGTGTCTGTGTTTTGGCACATGTAATGGAAAAACGATGTTCTAAAATCTCGTGGCTGTAATATTAAATGGTCGGTTCTAGGGATAGATATTAAGGAATAAATAGAGCAAAGCAATACTCACAGTTCTTTTAGGCTAGGGAGGGCTTTAATAGCCTGTGGAAATTCCCCCAGGTTATTATAATTCAAGTCCCTAGAAAAATTGGGAAAATATGTCAGAGTACTGAAAAGTCATAATTTATAAAGTATTTTGGTTGAAATGTACTTTTAAAAAATTCCTATCCTCTGGATGGTAATCTTTCTTAACCAATTATACTGCCACACTATAGGAGTTTAACTGAATTTACACCTTTTCTTGAAATAATGAACAAAAAAGAATCATAATTCTTCTATGATGTTTTTAAATCAATCTTGAAAGTTCAAAGAATTATCATAATCACATAGTACTGATGGCATTAAATAACCAAATCAGCTGAATGGTATTTCTCAGGGCATTGGCCATCAAATAAAATTTGTTGAATATCTACTTAACAATGGCAATGACGTCAAACTGAAGTTACCATCTGGGGTTTAGAATGGTATTCTAAAATTCTGGCATGAGGGCAGCTGATTCTCAGCCCTACCACCAGCAGGATGACCTGAGATAAATACGAAAAGCAGTTAAAGAATTGCTGGAAATGTTACATTAACTAGGAAAGAGAAAAGCAATAGTGATCTAGCCTTAAAAAATCTTAATGCTGGGGCCTCCCTGGTGGCGCAAGGGGTTAAGACGCAGCCTATGCTGCAATCCATAGTTCGATCCCCGGCCAGGGAGCAACCCACATGGAGCAGCAGACCTCTCCTGACTTGCCCACTGCCCCCTCAGCAGTGTATTTCGGTCAGTATGCCTGTTCTGTTCCCCACTTTGTCTCTGGTGGATCCTCCCGCCCCCCCATGCCTCTGGCCCATAGGCCAGCTCTTGTTATCCATCCAATTGGGAAATTCTCTGAATCATTAACAATACCACAAAGGCAAATATTTTGTCTTTGAATAAAGGTAAGTAATATAAACTAAAACAAAAATAAAGATCCTACTGTGATCCACACAAAGCTATACAAGGTTTGTTATTCTATATAGCAGTGCAACCTACAGTTGAGACAACCAGAGTATCTAAATACTTTAGTAAAGCAACAAAAGCATCCAAAGCAAAATGAAAACCTTAATCACATTTAACCTATGAAAGCAGAGATAGATTCAAGTCCAATGCTAACAATTAGCAAGATAATTCACAATAAGGAAAAAAGAAAATGTTTTCCAGAATTAATTTTATAAGGAACAAAGTTCCAAAACTATCATTTTACCAAATCAAAAATTTTGCAAAAATTATACAGCTGAGCACATTGAACTGCTCTTATTTTTAATGTGGACTTTTAAAAGAAATATCAAATATTAACTTTTATGCCATCTTTAAACCATAAGCTTAGATTTGTGTTCCTATCTGCTGTTTGGTAGCAAGGATTTACTCCATAGTCATGGAGTAAACTAGGTAAGTTGAACTCCAGATCATTACATTTTCCTTTTTCTGCAATGAAATAAAAGTTGCACTATCAACATCATAATGTGATGAATAAACTTACAAGGTCTCCAAGTTGTCTAGTCCATCAAAACAGTGTTGACCCAGGCTTTTAATTTTATTGTTATGAAGATGCCTACAGAAAAAAATATCAAAAGGACATTTACACCAGTAACCAGCTACAACATAACTATTGTAAATGCATTACGCATCTAACTGGCTTAAAGAATGGTATTGCTGGGCCTCCCCTGGTGGCCTAGTGGTTGAGCGCTGGACTGCGAAGCTGCCAGTCAGCCTCTGCAGTGCCGGTTCAATCCCCGGCCACTGGCAAGGGTCCCACGTGGTGCACAGACCTCTCCTGCCGAGCCCACTGCTCCCCTCAGCAGTGTACTTTGTCAGTCTGCCTGTTCTGTTCCCCGCTCTGGCTCTGGTGAATTCTTTCACCCTCCCACACTTCTGACTGTACCCAGTGCTTGTATAAATAAACAAACAAACAAACAAATAAATATTTTTTAAAAAATTAAAAAAAAAAGAATGGTATTGCTGAACACTTTTCACTAAAAATTAAAAAACAAATAACATTGGGTAGTTATGTACACTGCAGAGACTTGTGTATACTGAAAACAGAACACCAATGGAGAAGGAAGATATCTCTAGTGGTAAATGGCATACACACTGAAGATCCTTTAATATTTACCCACCAAAACAAAAGTTTTGATGTGTTTTAAAGTACAGGAAACAAACTCTGATGAGTCCTCCTGCTAGAGGTGAAGGGAATCGAAGGAAGCATATGAAAATTAGTTACAGATTTTAAAAGAAATGGTGCTTTCTTTATGCCCAAGTTTCCAAAGATCAAAAACACAGAAATTACATTTTTTTTGGAATAGACAAGTTGACAAAACCATGATACACGACTGAAATTTATTTTCTGTCAGCATGTCAAAATGATTCTGCTTCTATTGACTACATCGATTGTCCCAGTGTTGGCTAAATAGCCCAATTCCTTCCCATGATGACAAGTGATCATATATTTTAGAGATTCAACAGTTACCAGACGTTAATTTTTTAATTACCCTGTTTTGCGTATTAAAAGCCAGCACGTATAATTTTGTTTAAAAAAAAGGCAACACCCACACAGAGCAGCTTTTCAAGAGCATAATCAGTGAGGTCCTTTCATAATAATTTGTAGTAAGACATCTGCTTTGGCTCCTAAATTAGCACAAATACATGTGATTAAAAGGGGTGGATACTTACAGAACTACCAGGCTTGAAAGGTTGGTGAATGCAAAGTCAGGGATGCTAGAGATTTTGTTGAGCGCCAAGGTCAGCGCCTGCAGAGTTGGCAGATTGCTGAGGGGGTGCACAGGCACCTCAGTCAAGCTGTTGTCATCCAGCCACAGATGTCGTAACTGCGCAAGTCCCTCAAAACTGTCCCCAGGGACTGAGGTAATATGGTTGGCATCTAAACGCCTGACAGAAACAGAAAGAACAGCGTTCAATATTGAATTCTAGTAGCCAGAGCCAATGCACATCAAACAGCCCTCAAGAGTTTTCCAAACAGAAAGGAGTTATAAAAATGACCAAGGCTGTGGTATCACCACTTTCTTTAATTTCACTAGGAGTTCTCATAAAATCTAATAATGCCCAGTGTCCAGAAGTCAGTACTATCCCTTTCTTTATGACAAAGGGATGCATCCAAATCTGAATCCTTCAAGAATCTTTGACTAAGAGTAACTTCTATTGTAAAAGTTATGAATGGTATATCGTAAAGTAGAAACCTCTCACAAAACTCAAGCTAGCATTTCATATTTAAAAATATATATTTTGTAAACTATAGATATGCAACAAGAAACTCAACTGAGAAAAAAAGTTACCTTGCATTTCATATTGTTAGCTAATATTTGATATTAAATCTAACTGATATTCTGACATGGTATGAAAGAGGAAAACATTAACCAAAAGATGTTTTATAGCATGAAACCAGTTCAAGAGAGTCTCAGCAATTCTTATTACCACCAGACAAGTTAGAAGTATTGGGGTCATGTACTGGCAAAGCAACCTTCTCCTCTTCTCTTAGCTAAGCACTTTTGAAAATTCGGTTGTCAAAATTAACAAGTATTAACAAAAGGAAAAACTGTCCATATGAAAAACTGAAGAGCTACTCGGATCACTGTCATTGTGGCTTTAAAGGTTCTTTCATTTTTTCCAAAAATTTTGGAATTAAAGACACCTTGCTAATGGGATTACTCATAGGTAAAATGAAGTCCCAGTTTGAAAATGTGGAAAACTTAGTCCTTCGTGTTATTGTTGGCCCAACTAGGCATAATTGTTGGAATAATTGCTTTTCAACACAAAGACAACCTGATATTAATATGATGAGGGACAGCAAATCACAAGGTTCTTCACAAATCCCTGTAAATTCACACCTCACAGGCGTAGTGAAAATTAGGAAATACAGAGAGAGAATAGATAAAATGTCAAAATGACAGCATATTTTTAAAGAAGTGGAATTTGGCAGCATTCTAGTTCAAGAAATCTGACTTTTAGAGTGGGTTTCACGTCTCCTGTTTTCTTACACAACTTCTTTACCCCTCCGGCCCTCAAATAACCTCCTTCCCAGAAAAGGTTCCTTGGTAGAGGCAGATGAGCAGGGATTAAAGACCCTTGGTCTCAAGGAGGATCTGATGGGAGATTTTTTTTTTTTTTTTCAGTTAGGATAACTAAAAGGGCACTTAAAAAAGGGGAGCTTAAAACTGAGCAGCTGCCTTAAAAATCCACTTAGAGGGGCCTCCCCTGTTGCACAGTGGTTGAGCACATTGCTGTAAAGCTGTCCGCAGCTTCCACAGCGCGGGTTCGATTCCTGGCCAGCCAGGGAGATTCCCACATGGTGCGGCAGACCAATCCTGTCAAAACTGCTTCCCTCAGCAAAGCCTTTGGTCTGTCTGCCTGTTCTGCTCCCCACTCTGTCTCTGGTGAATCCTCTCACCTCCCCCTGCACCTCGGGCCTGTACCCCAGCTCTTATATAAATAAAAAATAAATCTTAAAAAAAAAAAAAAACAAAAACGAACCCACTTAGAAACAAACATTTCTAGGTTTGTTTATGCCTTGGGTTTCCAGAAGATACTCCCGAGAAGAGACAGGCGTCTTCTCTATGATGACTACAAAGTAATGGTTTTGGAGCAGTTTAGAATAATGCAGTGAGTGTTCTCTCTCTCTCTCTCTCTCTCTCTCTCTCTCACACACACACACACACACACACACACACACACACACACACACACATCACAACCTCAAGGTTATTTTATTTAGGACAGAGAGACAACAAACATATAATCATACAATTCATCACAAAATGATAAATAGTTAATGTAATTAAATTCTAGTTGGAGATGACTTAGTCATTTGCATTTCTTTCAACATGTTTAAACTGTTTAACATCTTGTTAAACACAAAAGACAAAATGGCGAACCCAGCAGGCATAAGGTGTGTGTCCTCAAGAGACATTCTAGAAGGAGGTGACATGTAATACAATAATCAAGTTAAAAGACGATTATAAAGTGCTTTAAAAAGTACTGTGGGGTCTCCCCAGTGGCGCAGCGGTTGAGCGCTGGGTTGCAAAGCTGCCTGCAGCCTCTGGGGTGCCGGTTCGATCCCCGGCTGCTCCCCGGCCACCGGAGGAGGGTCCCACATGGCGCGCAGACCTCTCCTGCCACCTGCTGCTCCCCTCAGCAGTGTACTTCAGTCCTTCTGCCTGCTCTGCTCCCTGCTCTGGTGAATTCTCTCACCCTCCCGCACTTCTGACTGTACCCAGTGCTTGTATAAATAAACAAATAAACAAACAAACAAACAAACAACTCTTTAAAAAAAAAAAAAAAAGTACTGTGAAGTAAATAAACAGGGTGCTGGGGTAAAAATTAAAAGGTGCTAAGGGGGATGGTAGCTATTTAAAATGCCTTCGTCAGGAAAAGCATCTCTAGGAAGATGCTATTTAAACTGAGCTGAAAAAATGAGCAAGACCAAGTCTCAGAGGAAGCTGGGCAAGTAGTAGGAGGGAAGATCGAGGGCAAGGGACTCAGGAGCAGAAACTAGCTGCGTGTGACCCCAGCAACTTCTAGGTCAGAGTGACTAGAACTCAGGAGGAAGGGAGTGTTCATGGAGACACATCTAGAGATGAAAACAGGGACCAGATTAGGCAGACTCCTGCCAGCCAGGTAGGAAGCTTGGGTTGTAGTTTAAGGCCAAATTGAAGTCATCGTGGTCTTCTCCCTCTTCTGTGCCCCCAGTTTCTCAGGTTACAGAATTTTGTATATTTGAATTGCTTAAGTTATCATATTGATGATAATGTGCATTCTCATCCATCAAAATCATGAACCAAGTACACTGACATAAACAGGACCCCACTGAAAGTAAATCCTCTCTATAAAAGTATTTTATGAAGATGTGGTAAAATACTGCAATAAGGAAAGTCATTGATCCCCCTTTAACATAAATAGAGTTATATACATTATTTTTGCTCCTGCAGAATTTTGCACCATGTACCATCAAAAAAAAAAAAAAAAAAAAGCGATGGCCAAATGTAGCGAGATAACTAGGGGAGTTTTGAGTTAAAACTTTATCTTCTGTGTAAAACAGCAGTACAACAACCAATGCACAGACTCAATTTCCTCTGTGCTATAAATGCCCCCAAATTCAAAGTCATATATGATTAAGAGATCAGAAGGAAGAAATTAGGAAAATTGGCCCCCTTAAATAAGAACTTAAATGAGAAACAGCATTTGTGGTGACTCAAATTGTTAACCCTTATGCCTGAATGCACCTGTGGTATTGGTGGCACACCCATAAAAGAAAAAAGTTTTACTTTCACACAGATCAATGTTTCACAGAACAATTGTCTTAGAACTGTGGCTTTGTATGGCCATCACCTACATTATTGTATTTATCCTAAGAGGCCAAGAAAATACTGTAACTGATGTTTTCAGGAGACACAGTAAATGGTATGAGGTACCCCACAAAGTGAAGTCATTGTGCAATTTTTTTTTTGTGCAAATTTACAGCATTCTACCATTTGAACTCCATGCAACAAGGGCTAACACTGAAATATACTTTAGTTAAAAGGTTAAAGAGGTACTAATTGAACTCCCTTACTGTTTTTCTCCTGAAAATGTGCTTCTATTCCCTACTGTCAAGTCTGTTTTATATTTAGTGAGTTGAAGTTGTTTTTTTTTTTTGCCTTGAAGTCTCTATGTAGATATTTACTGACAAATGTCTATTATCAATTAACACCTATTCTGTGTCACCCATACCTCTCCTTTTTTTCTCTTTACTTCTACTTTACAGATACTGTAAGTTGTGTTAGATTTTGTTACTAGTTTCTAATTTAAAAGTTAGATTCTGTTATTGTGGAAGACCTAGGAAAGTTAGTCTGATTTCCTTTAATATTTGATACAAATGTGATGGAATGTAAGGAAAAAAAATAGTGGAGCAAATTCCAACATGTCATTTTTAATATCTCATGTAAGCAGCGCTGTAGCCATCTTTCTGGGCTTTGTAGAAGGCTGTAATGCTATCCCTTTATTAATACCAACCTTCATTGTAAGGTTTTCTAGCCATCATCACACACTTCAGGTCAATTTTAATCCCTAATGAACTTTGCTCCTTTTAAGGAGCAAAGTCCTACTTCAAAACCACAAGGAAATCTTTCATGTAATTCGGGTCTGAAGATCAGATTTTCAAACTAACTCAAGTGCTGATAAGACTGTTTTACACCAGGACAGAATTTCAATTGTATCTAACTTGACCACTACACCCACTATGCTAACAAACCCATGAACATTTCCGTCTTAAATGAAACACACCTGACACATAACTCCTTGTGTTTCTGGCACATAGAGAAACATCCCCATGCCTTATTTGACTCTTCCCATTCCCCCAATTTTAGAGATAACTTAAACTATGTAATTCATTCAATGATTGATGAGCACAAAATGCTTTAAAAAAAAAACAAACACCTTATTTTAGATGAGAAACCTAAGGTTTCTGTGAAAAGCACTTTTAATCATCTAAAATACCAACAAATGGGGCCTCCCTGGTGGTGCATGGGGTTAAGATGCAACCTATGAAGCTATCCGCAACCACTACAGCACAAGTTCGATTCCCGGCCTGCCAGGGAGCAACCCACACGGCACAGCAGACCTCTCCTGACTTGCCCGCTGCTCCCCTCAGAAGTGTACTTTGGTCACTCTGCCTGTTCTGTTCCCCACTCTGTCTTTGGTGAATCCTCTCACCCCCCACACCTCTAGCCTGTACCCCAGCTCTTGTATGCATAAATAAATAAATATTTTTTTAAAAATAAAAATAAAATATCAACAAACGTCATGTGTGCATTAACACATTTATGACCACAAACCAAGGAGAATCTATTGATATGTCTTCTTGGTAAATTTTTTGTTCTAAAGTTTAAATATTTGTATTCTCTTTTTTAGTCTTCACACTAGGCAAAATGATTAAATATTTTGATCATTAAGTCTTAGAAATCAGAAAAGTTCTATATAAATTCTGCATGAAGCCTAGAAGTAAAATGAATGGTGAAGAAGTAAAAGAAAATGAGAATGATTACAAATGTCTAATGAATTCAGTCCAGTGAAGGTAAAGTGTATATCTGTCCAATGTTAGAAAGGACACAGAGACAGAAAAACTGTATTGTGTAAAGGAATTTATTCCAACAGATTTACTGAGAGTCTAACTTAGAACCTACTCAATTAACTGGTCACAGTGAATAACAAATCCTTCTATTCCATAACTAAGCATTTTGGCAAAATGAGCTACTTAAGATATTTTTCTAACTTAAATATCTATTTAAACTCTTACAGAAATTAAATGGCCAATACCCGGATACTCCTTGTTTATGACATTAGATAAATTTTAAAGTTTAACCTTTACAACATATGATATGCTTTATTAGTATATACTTTTATTTTCACACTCACTTCCTACTTACTACTGGAATATCTAATCTAAAATCAAAAGGTCATCTGCAATTTACAATTTCCAGTAATGTGTTCTTACTACAAGTAAAAAGCAAGTGGAAGTGACAAAGGAGCGCAATCATTTTTTCCCAAGTCTTCTATAACTTATGTGTTGCCTATACAGGCTTACATTTACAGCTGTTTCAAAGGACAATAAAAAAACCAAAAAAACAAAAAAACAGATTCTATACACACATATGATGTAGTTACAGCCTAATTTTATAACCCAGGACACCTAAGTGTGATTACTATTACAATTTGTTTTTCAGAGTGATTCTCAAAACTTCTTGTACAATGGAAATATGAGGAAATTTTTTTATAATACAGGTTCCTGAACCTTTCAAGAGTATACATTATTACCTTGAGGATATGTCCTAGGAATCTGCATTTTAGTCATCTCCCCCTATTAGTTCTTTTGCAGTTGATCCAAGAGCAACTATGCCTTCATCTCATTGTATTTAGTGTTAGGGACACAAGCTGAAGATATGTAAGTTTACATTCATTATTCTAGAAGAATAGCAAACTAACAGAGCTCCTTGTTTCGAACAATACTTCTTCATTACTTTCAGACATTCTCTTCACCTAGTTACACAAACTGGTAAACTCATAATCAAAGAACTGATAAACTATGTCATTATCATTATTAATATTACTAGACTGTAAATGTTTACTAAGTACTTACTACATGTCAGCTATTGTTATAAGTGCTTTTCATGCATTAAAGTACATGGCAAGTAATGAGTAAACTACTAATAGAGAATTTTAAGTAATTTGCCCAATATCCACAGCTAGTAAGTGGCAGAATGGGGATTCAAAACCAGATAGGCCTGTTTCAGAATTCTCATTAACCTGAGCTTCAGCAAGAGCATATAAACATTCTGATAGAAATATGCAAAGGGCTTTCCTTAAATCTGGCAAAAGTCTAATTACAGTAAGTTCCCTACAGTGCTTCTCAGCCTTTGCCTTTAAAATGCCCTTAAAGACAGGGGGACTTGATCTTCTACCCCAGGAAAGCGGGAACATAAAGCTGTAGTCCTGACAATACTCCTCAGTGACATATGTTCAGGTCACTAACAAACACCTGTGTATTTAATATGAAAATGGCTGTTTCTTCCTATCTTCTGGGGATTAGCGTGGTCCCTGTGACACCACTGCTCCTACCTCATCTATCCTGACTCACTACAGGGGAGACAAGGGCTTGCAGATGCAAATCATGGCAGCAAGGGTCTCCATGCCTCAAATTCAACAAATAAACACACACACACATGAATGAAAAAAAAGTTTGAACACGCCACATGAAACCTAACTCTCCTCAAAAAGAAAAACCTGGTGAAAAATACATTTGTAGAGGTTTGAATCTATAACCACTAAAACAAATACAATGATGTAAACCCGACTGTAATTCAAGAAACATAATTGGAAGGAACAGATAAAATTGATCTTAGAGATTTTAAAAATGAAAGAAAAGCCTTGGAAGAAGGCAGCACAGGTAATGAAGCTAGCTCCCCCAACATGTGTTCACTATCCACAAATGAGGATTTATACCCGTTTGTTCTCTTCTTGTAGCTGTTTCTTGACACGATGGCACAAGGCTCTAGCACTTTTGTACACTTAGTTCTAGTTCCAAAGAGATGATGATCACCAGCCACAGGCAAGCTGGTGGAAATGCATCTGGAAGTGTGCAGCTGTAGCTTTCTCTCAGCCTCTGAGAGAGGCTGCCATTTCTATGGCAGCAACTGGCCATCTCCAATTTTATCCCTTTTCCCCTTGTAGCCAGAGTGTTCTCCCAATGACACTAGAAGGTGGAAAGTCAAAAGGTTACTTACAAAGACTGCAAAGCACTCAGTCCTCGAATGGCTTCACTGGGTACTGTTTTCAACTGATTGTTTTGGAGGGTTCTGGAAGGAAATTTTTGGTTAGTGGATAACAAGCAATTGTTAAGCATTTTTTTCATAGAAGAATGCAGGGCCCTTTCTTTCTAAAACATATTTGCAGTGGTAGTGAAAGTACAAAGAATTGCAAAAAAAAAAAAAAAAAAAAGGATTTGTTGTAAAGCCAGAAATGAAACTCCAAGCCATTCCCTAACACGGATCTGCTGGGTAATCCTCATTTCCTGGGGTTGCCTCATTCTCAGGAATTAGGGCACCCCAACTAGTTGTTCATCACTCTTGGTACCGCTCATGTTAATTGGAATGTATAGCAAATTAACTGGGAGATTAAAAAAAACCAAGCCCATTTGAATTGCCAATGACGTCTCAAACTGGGATTAAGAGGTGCCCAGAAACACAGACATTAGGGAAAGCCAATTTTGGCATGAGGATAGCAGACGCTGGGCTTTTTAGGAAGTAGCAGCTGTGTTCTCCGGGCCAGGGCAGAAATAGAGCTTAAACCATCTAATAATTATTAAGATCTGGAAAAATTAGGCACAGATCGATACTGAAAAGGAAATCATTCTAACTTTTGCCTCAGCCACTTCTCATCACACTAATAAAAGAGCGGCCTGACCACAGGTTGCAATGAGAATCATGACCACAGGCTGCAATGAGAAAGGGCCCACCCTGACTCACTGAGCCAGAGAGGTCTAGTGCCTTGCAGGTGACCAATCCGCGAGGAAGCGGCAAAAGTGGGGCTGGCCATCAGTTCATCTATTCCCCAATCTGCCACACTCCACACTCGTGCTTACCACCAGGGACTTATTTCCTGATCCATTGCAAGCAAAATAAATCACAAGCATCTCAATTCCCTTTAGTTCTAAAATGATTTTAACATGTGGCACTCTCTGAAACCATTCCTTGTAAGGCCAGCTAATTCAAAGTTCTTATGGCTATGAAATAAGTAGAAACCCTATCATGATTTTGATTCAAGGTATTTGTCACACAAAAGCCTAACATTCAACTCTCTACACTGGAGGTCAGAACACCTAATATTTTGATTTTAACTTTTGTTATCTAGACCCAAGTTTGCCTAAATCAACCTCTAGCCTCCTACACTACCCACTAGTCACTCCTTAAATCTTTTAATCCTGAACTAAAAGAAACTGTGCTTAACCTAGCTCTAAGCATGTTGACTATGCAGAAAGAAAATACACAGCCAGCTGTGAAACTCTAAAATTGCATTACTTACAGAACTTTGAGTTCTTTCAACCCAGACAAGGCCTTTGGGTGGATAAAAGAAAGGTCATTGCCAGCCAATCGTCTAGAAAAAAAATAAAGTAGCAAAAGAAAAAATTAGCAATTCAGACTCTTAAAATTCAGAACTCACAATGACTTAATCTGTGATTAAAGCTCCATGGTAAACATTTCTGAAGTCTATCTGACATTAAACATGGACTTAAACCTTTGCTAAAGTGATCTCAAGATTCTCCCAATGAGATAAATGTCTCCAGAATTTTTTTTTAACTCCCAATACAATAATTTAAACAGGCACATTTTTATTCTGGTGAGGTCAAGCAAGCCAAAACACATTAAACCAAATTAAGTTTGCTATTCATGGTCACTCTCTGCAGCTTGCGGCATTTTTCTAAGTGCCTCATAAATATAGACTACTGGTCAGCCAGCAGGAGTGTTTATACAGATCAGACAAACCAGTCTGTCAAGGAGAAATGCCTGCAAGAGGCAAGACAGCCTGTTATCGCTCTACAACCAGAAGGAAGCATATTCTATGCAAAAGAGAGGCAAAGAGTGAAAATCATGTAAGCATAACTTTGCCAACAAAGGCCTGTGTATTTCTCAGAATGTTTTCCTAAAAAATTTTCAAAGTGACGAATGGTTGAATGGTTAAGGATTTCTCAGGATTCTTCTGTAAAATATCTGAGCACATAATCATACTGAGCCCCACTGCTCCCATACTCCAGAGCGAACACAGAAATAGGAAGAAAAATGAGTCAGAAGAAAACTTCAGGGAAATAAGCAGGAGGACTGCAATCCACATTAATATCTTGTAAACAAGTGAACTGGAGGAAGGTTTTCAAATATTGCCTTAGACAGGATAGCCGTGTGCCCTTGTCCTGGTTTCATCAGGGGGTTTTCTCCCAGGCAACTACATTTCATATATAAAACTTTTTTTTTTTTTGGATGTTTATTTATTTTCTTGTTTCTGCTGACTTTTTTTTTTAATAGATTTCTTTATTTATTTATACAAGCACTGGGTACAGTCAGAAGCACGGGAGGGTGAGAAAATTCACCAGAGCCAGAGCCAGGAACAGAATAGGAAGACTGCCGAAGTACACTGCTGAGGGAGTAGCGGGCGCGGCAGGAGAGGTCTGTGTGCCATGTGGGACCCTCACCGGCAGCTGGGGATTGAACCGGCACTGCAGAGGCTGCAGGCAGCTTCGAAGTCCAGCGCTCAACCTCTGCGCCACCAGGGGAGGCTCATATATAAAACTTTTTAAAAAATTATCTATCTCCCTCTCTCATGTTTTGGTATCTCATAGTCACTAGTTACATTAATTGCTCCTTTAAAGCCTATTCCCATTGTCATTTGTCTTCTCTCTTATAAGCACCTGAGCCTTACCAATGCATCCATTCACTAAAAAATTTCATTCAATAACAAATGAGTACCTACTAAGAACAGGACATATTACATCCTTTTCTTAGACTTCCAGTGCCCCCACTACTCCAACTTAGTTTTCTTATACAACCTGATTTTAGGGAATTGAGGAATGTTCCTTTACCATTCCTAAAATTTGAAGTCATTCAGGCCTGAAACTATACACTTCTTAGATGCACTATTTTCTCCTGAAGTTTTCATCCCAGTTAAAAATGTAAATGGCCGTGGAATAGATAAATCTTGATCCTGAACTAGACTTAACATGGAAATGTGTGCCAAAGATGTAAAGAGTTAACACTAAACAACCAGGATGCTCAGAAACCAGAAGAGTGAGTGTGTGCATTTTTCCCTATATAGCAAGGATAACAAAGCTTTCATAGGCAGCACCACAGATTTAACACAGGGTTCATGCCCCTAATTGAAGTTCTTTCCCCAAGTCCCCCGCAAAAGGCACATTCTCACAAGGAACCCTGGTACCCAAGCTCCACACAGAATGCTTTTTACAGTTTCCCACAATCCAGGCTCACAAGAGCACACTTCCTTGAGTCCACAATACCTAAAATGAGCAAGTTGAGAAGATGGTTTTAAGACCTCTTCATGCTTCCAATTTAAAACTACTTTGATTCTAGAAAAATAGTTTTTTCACACTCCTCTTGATTCTAGACTAGCCAGTTTCACTACTACAGCTTTAAAAGCTTCACCACAAAATCTCATATTAAATACCCAACTCTAGTACTAATTCCCATGAAGACTTCAGCTTTTCATTCAGACCATGTCCTATGTGTGAATTCTTAGAACTCATAAGCCAACTTGGTCACAGAATACCTTCGACTCCCTATAAGATTGATTGCTCGGAGTCTTGTAGGAAGTATACGATCGCGTCCAAGAATAGGGCATGCCTCTCACACTTTGTCACCACCCAGCAACATGTTAACTCATTAGCCAGAAACTGCTTTCTCAGAATTTCCTCCTCGAAAATGCTCACCATTCCTATGTGATACATAACATCCCAGTCTACCTTACTGCTGAGTACAAACCCTCCCAAGGGTCTGTCTATATCCTGGGACCACTAACCAAATTCAACTGATAGTGCTTACAGCCAGCCCTAACACAGTATGTAAAAGATAACATTTTTTTTTTTAAATATCAAATTGCATCACAGGGACCATGAGGGGCACCCAGGGCCTCCAGTGGTCGCTGACCCAGGACTGCTTCCAAGGTGTCTGGAAGACCAGCCTGAATAAGCCCACGTCCACCAACACCAACACCATAAGCAGACCAAGGCTGTTCCAGATTTCCTGCTCTTTTGTCTCTAATATTAATTTTCAGTGTCCCTATATCTTCAAACTTTTCCTGAGGACTACAATCCACTACACTTGGGCTCATGAAAGAGTATTTTTTAAAGTCACAAAGGAAGTGGCAAAACGCGGAGCACCTGGTTACTTGTCAACAGAAAAGAGTATTTACCTACATCAGCCAAAATATTTGTTCCTTTGCCCAAATCTCTGCCCCTTTATAAGTCATGGGAAAACTAAAGTAACCTAACTTCAAAATGCATCCTGTCTTTCGCCACTACTTATCATTAATAGAAATGCTCAGATGAGCTCCTTGCAAGCAGCTTACCTGAAACGCAAGCCCACTATCTGGAGAAATAAACACTACTGGGACAGGGTAGCTGATGATAATGCTGAGCAAGGGGGCACACAACCTCACACTACTTTGATTATTTCATTTCTAACTAGAGTAAACATAGCATGCAGAGACTTCAGGAATGCATCTGCCCACGCCAACCAAGCTGCTGTGTCAATGAATAATAAACACAGCAGCTCAGTTAAGGCTCTGCCACTTCAGCAGTCGCACCCTCCAAAACCTCTTCACATTTTGCTATTTTATGAGGCATTATTTCCTATACTAGGCCCTGGGGATCTTCACATCCAAAAACTCAGATCCAGAAGAGAGCAAAGTGAATAAATAACAGGGCTAAGGACAAAGTTCTAGAATCTTTGGAAGAAGAAAAAAAAAAAACCTACTTTGTAATGAGCCCACAGTAATTGCAGGCACAAGATGGGTGGTGCAGTGACATTCTTTCATTTTAATCACTTCATGACAATAACCTCCTTCTCTAAGTCCCGAGAAGTTAGGTGACTTGGCAGAAGTCACCTAGATGGAAATGGAGGAGCCAGAATTCGAGTTCTTACCCAGCCGGCTCCAGTGCTTATCCACTTTCTCTTACATGGCCTCAGTGCTTCTAGTGTCTCACCAAGAGACTGAAAATGAACCTCCGAGAGGCAGAACAAAGGATCTGGCAAGTTCAGAGCCTTGTTTGAATAGCCACAGCTCTCAGTAGAGAGCTCGCAAGCAGGGACCATGGCATTAGGAGCTCAGAACTGCCATTATGGAATCATTTCCAACAAAGTGATGGTGCCATCCTTCCCATATCCAAAGATGGCCAGTGGGAAGGTGGGACCCCTGAAGGGCAGAAGGGAAGGATCCTTAAAGTCACTGGGACTCTGTTTAGGATATATAGAACAGTCTCTCTTGTGAAAAAGAGTTGGCTGATGAGGGGGAAGAATTTTCCCATAGTCCTCTACAAGCAAAGAACAGCAACGTTCCATCCTGTGCCTGAGGTGGTCTGTGCTAAACCCAACCACTCTCTTAGTGTCTTACTTCATGAAGAACTACTGGCTGACCCCTGAAAATCTTTATTTGCTAAATGAGGATATATATATATATATATATAGATACACACACATATATATACATACATACATATATATATATAAATTTTTTTTAAAGATTTTATTTATTTATACAAGCACTAGGTACAGTCAGAAGTGCGGGAGGGTGAGAGAATTCACCAGTGACAGGAGAGAGAGCAGAACAGGCAGACAGACAAAGTACACTGCTGAGGGGAGCAGCGGGCAGCAGGAGAAGTCTGTGCGCCATGTGGGACCCTCGCCCGGCAGCCAGGGATCGAACTGGCACTGCAGAGGGTACGGGCAGCTTCACAACCCAGTGCTCAACCACTGTGCCACCGGGGAGGCCCTATATATTATCAATTTTTAAAAAATTGTCTTCCAATGGCTATGAAGTTCCCAAGGGTAAAAATCATTAGGGTGCGAACTAAAGCGTGAAGGTGGTATACAGTATACAGTTCTGTTTGCTAAGGATAGAGTATGCCAGGCATCACTTCTCTCCCATCTGAACTCTGTAGTTCCTCAGTTTCCCCTGGCTGTGGTTGCAATAAAGTTTCAATCCATCTACTCTCCTCTCTGACTCTTCCTGCTGTCATCTAAGGGACATTTTCTTTCCTCCTGGATAACTACTATGAACTTCCACAAGACTCCAGGCTCAAACTCCTTATTTTTAATACTGTGTGACCTAAATCTAAAACAACAACAAAAAAAACCTCTCAGTATATTCCTAAAGGCTTATTTCTCTAAATTCGTCATCAGCCCTTCAGTATGAGCTATCCCCCCGTCTCACCTACCCCGTTTCTTATATCTACAATTTACCACACCAGGTTTTCCCACCTCTGACTCCTTGCTGCCGTCACTTCCTTTTTCTGAAAACCCCCCACTCCAGCCTCTGCCATTTGAAACTTTTTATTATCATCACTGTCCAAGTTGGACATTATCAACAACCTA